TACTCCACCTCCCACTTATCCTGATCCCCCTGCCCCCACCCTCGTTTTCAACTTCGTCGTTCTCAGGGTCGGCGGCACCAGCCGTAAGCCCTTCACAATATACAATATTCGCATCCCCGAAGCCAGAAACCAGCGTAATTTATACAACAGTCGCGTCCCCGAAGCCACAAACCCTCGTACATTAGACAATATTTGCGTTCCCGAAGCCATACGCCGTCATAAATTAATAAATATTTGCGTGCCCAAGGCCATTAACCCTCGCACATGACATACTATTCGCGTCCCCGAGGCCACATTCCCTAGTAAAATTCCCCAAATTTGCGTCACCGAGGCCATGCATCAATACACGTGTGTGTATCTATCTATCTATCTATCTGTCTGTCTGTCTGTCTGTCTATCTATCTATCTATCTATAACATATATATATATATATATGCCTTACATTTTGCAATATTCGCGTCCCCGAAGCCATAACAACTCTCGTACATTACGCAGTGTTCGCGTCCCCGAGGCCATACAACTTTGACATGTTCTAACAATATTCTCGCCCCCGAAACCATAAAACCATGTAACTTACCGAATATTCGCGCCCCCAAGGCCATACACCTTTGCAAATCATGCCATATTCGCGTCCCCAAGGCCATGAACCTTAGTAAATTGCACCGTACTTGCGTCCTTGAGGCCACAAGCCCTTGAAATAATATTCGCGCCCCCGAGGCCATCAACCCTTGCAAATTAAGTAATATTTGCGCCCGCGAGGCCATACACCATTGTAAACTGTACAATATTTGCGTCCCCGAGGCGACAAACCCTCATAACTTACACAATATTCGCGTCCCCGAAGCCATAAACTCCTGCAATTTATGCAATATTCGCGCCACCAAAGCCATAAACCCTCGTACATTAATATTGGCCCTCGCGTGAAGTCCCGACATTGCTTCGCGTCAGCGTTCAGACATCCCAACACAGCTCTGGCAAATCCCATTCTAAGAGAGGGTGCCGGCGGCATGGGGGCGAAGCCCTTACCGAAAACCAAAAACATATAGAGAGGGCAACAGGAAAAAGAGAACAGAGAGAGAGAGAGAGAGAGGGAGAGAAACACACCCACACACACAACCACATAACACATACAAACAAACACACACAGACACCTACAGACACACACAAACACACACACTCACACAGTCACACACACACATTCACACACACATTCACACACATTCACACGCACATTCACACACATTCACACAAACACACACACACGCACGCACGCACGCATACACACATACTACACACATCACACACACCACACACACCACACACACGACACACACCACACACACCAAACACACCACACACACCATACACACCACACACACCACACAAACCACACACACCACACACACACCACACACACCACGCACACCACAAACCACACACACCACACACACCACACACACACACACCACACACACACCACACACACCGCACACACACACACACCGCACACACCACACACAACACACACACACCACACACCACACACACAACAATCAACACACAACACGCAACACATAACACACAACACACACCACACAACACACACACACAACACACGCAACACTCAACACTCAACACACAACACACAACACACACACTATACACAACACACAACACACACAACACACAACACACAACACACACAACACACACCACACACCACCCACAACACACACACATCACACACAGCACCCACAACACACACCACACAACACAGACAACACAGACAACACAGACAACACACAACACACACAACACACACAACACACAACGCACACATAACACACACCACACAACACACACAACACACATCACGCATCACACAACCCACACAACATATACACACACCACGCACACACACATAACACACAACGCACACAACACACACACAACGCACACAACACACTCAACATACAACACGCACACACAACACTCGCACAACACACACACACACACCACACACACACACCACACACAAACAACACAACGCACACACACACAACACACAACACACAACACACACACACTGCGTATATCCGCCACCGTGCCCTTGAGGCACGAACTGGAGTGTCTGCAGCTCCTTGGCCGAATCCCTTAAGCCTCATTCCTCAATTCTGAGGGGTCTTCAAGGGGCCTGGACCCCGACTTCACAAATTTCTCGGGCTTCCCTGCGTCATCCCTGGGCTCCCCCGAGTGATGTCGCATGACTTTTTCGGGGCCAACAAGGGCCCAAGACGGACCCCAAGAGCTCGCACAGACGGTCAAAGGGTGTCCCGAATCGCCGAACGATCGGTCCAAGACGCCCACGATGGCTCCAAGATGGCCCCAGAAGCCTTTGAGACCCCACATAAGAGCCCCAAGAGCCTTCCAAGAAGGCTCCGAGAAGCCAAAAGCAGTGATGCCCCATTGGATGTTTCAATGATTTTTGGATTCCCCACTTTTCGAGCCTCCGAGGCCCTGAGACCGCCCCAAGAGGGGCCCAGCGGCCCCCAAGACAGCCCCAAGACTGCCCAAGAGGGAGACGGCCCAAGAGAGCCCCAAGACGGGTCCAAGCCTGGGAACACGAACCGACATTCCGAATTTTCCGCCCCGAGAGGCACCCAGGAGGCCCCCAGGAAACCCCGAGAGGCCCCCAAGAGGCTTCGACGAGGCTCCAAGAGGCCCTCCAGAGGCCCAAAAGAGGTGCAAAACAGGCCTCAGAACAACCCCACCCCAGAGGTCTCAATACTGTCTCCAGGAAGCCCCCGAGAGGCCTCGACGAGATCCCAACGAACATCCAAGTGACCTCAGACCCACAACCTAGGCACGGTGGCGGGATGGCAGGATGGGCCGAAGGCGAGTGTATATCCGCCGCTCCCTGTTGGCTTGCCACAGGGGTGCCCGGCGTGTTAGATGTCCTGAGAGGTTGTCTTTGGCTCTCTTCCAAAAGAACTCCCCCTGAGCCCAAGAGGCCGAAGTAGGCCCCCAAGATGCCTCCAAGAGGCTCCCAGGAAGCTCCCAGGAGGCCCCAAGTGTGCCCCCGGAGGCTCCCAGGATGCCTCCTCCTCCTCCTTCTCCTCCTCCTGATCTTTCCCGCCATCCTCTCCCAAGTGTTCCCCGAAGAGTTTTCACAACGGCTGGGGGAACACATTGTCCGATAGCTTGGCAGAGCTCTTGCCACAACGCTCGGTCACATGGGCGATTCCGAAAAACATGGGGCGGCGGTGATTCGTCGTAGTCGTGTTCGATATGTATATGTATATATATATATATATATGTATATGTACATATATATCTGTATATGTATATATACAGATCTACACATTGCTGGTATATACAAATGCGTAGGTCTTGTTGGGAATAGGTCTGGGACAGTCGAGTGCAGCGCCAGGTGTTGAAACATATCAAGTAAACCGAGGCTAGATCTAAATTTGGAAGATACACACAGCAGAGAGAAATGTAAAGAGTGCGATATATTACATATATATATATACATAGAGAGAGAGAGAGAGAGAGAGAGAGAGAGAGAGAGAGAGAAAGAGAAAAAAGAAAAAGAGCGAGAGATAGAGAGAGAGAGAACAAACGTGAAATGCAGGTGAACAATACGGAAATCCACGGATCATTTTTTTTGGGGGTGGGTGGGTGTCATGCCATTATTTCCCGCAGCGTCAGTTATACGGGGTGGCCGGGGGCAGGCCTGCGAGCGCCACAGCATGCTTGTGAGCACCAGAGCCGGCCAGTCAGCACCACAACATGCCTGTGAGCACTGCGCCATGCCTGTGGGGGAACCGGCCCCACCCCCCCTCGCCCTTCGCCTGCGTTCGGTAACTACTCTTCGGGGAGGTGGGGGGGAGGCGGGGGGCGACCCCTGTGACGGACCTTACGGGCTCACCGAATACAGAGAAAATTACCCTGGCGACGTACCCAACCCCTGCGCAATGCGGGGTAGGAGTAGCGTGGGAGATTTGACGAGAAGGCGGCGACGTGACATGGACGCATATACTTCTGCGAGCGGCATTCGGAAGGTTCGCAGGTCCCCAATCAAGGGAAACACGATGAGTAACTAAGCGAACCCCTGAGTCACTAGGGAAGACGCAAGGTCCAAAAGGAGACAGTGGGCAACGAGCTTGAAACGTCGGCGGGGTAGCAACAACATGACATGGCCTCCCAAGAACGGCGAGGCCCCGCTCAGGTCTGCGCAGTGCCTCACTCCGCTGGACCCACCAGCAGCCTTCGAAAGTGGCGAGCCCACCAGCAGCCCTCGAAAGTGGCGACAGTTTCGCAGATCGCAGCCCCCCCAGGGACGGGGAAGTCCCGCTTAGATCCGCGCGGTGCCTCACTCCGCTGGACCCACCAGCAGCCCTCGAAAGTGGCAACAGTTTCGCAGATCGCAGCCCCCCCAAGGACGGGTGGGTCCCGCTCAGATCCGCGCGGTGCCTCACTCCGCTGGACCCACCAGCAGCCCTCGAAAGTGGCGACAGTTTCGCAGATCGCAGCCCTCCCAAGGACGGGGAGGCCCCGCTCAGATCCGCGCGGTGCCTCACTCCGCTGGACCCACCTGCAGCCCTCGAAAGTGGCAACAGTTTCGCAGATCGCAGCCCCCCCAAGGACGGGGAGGCCCCGCTCAGATCCGCGCGGTGCCTCACTCCGCTGGACCCACCAGCAGCCCTCGAAAGTGGCGACAGTTTCGCAGATCACACCCCCCCAGGGACGGCGAAGAGAGGGCAGGAGGAGGGAGGAGGCGGGAGGCGGGAGGACGCGACCGCAGTGCTCTATTCAAAACGAATGCCCAACCAAGGAGGGTTGGGAATAATCTCGAGGCGAATCGAGCCGTGGTGACGAGGAACGAGCAACGGCATCCCGATCTTTCCCTCCTCCGAGGTCCACCGCCCAGCCGGCTGGCACCTCGCGCGCGCCGCTGAGCGCGAAGGCGACGGCGTGCACGGCGGCCGCGCGGTCCATGGCGTCGGACGACCGCGCGGCCGCGCGCGCCGCCTCGGCGGAGAGGGGCGCTCGTTGATTTGCTGCGCGCTCCTCCTCGCGGGCCGCCCCTCGGTTGGCAGCGCGCACTGGGCGGGCAGGGGAGAGGGGGGAAGGCTTCTTGGAGGGAGGTTGCGACGAAGAAGGCGCTGGCCCGATATCTGTAGGGAAGGCCCGCGCCTTCTGAGAAGCAGGGGAGCTTCTAAGAAGCCTTCCCCCCTGCCCCCACCCCCCTCTGCGTGTGCCCGCCTCGGAATGCAGCGGCATCGCCCAGCAGGCCAAGGGCAGGGGTCACCGCAAAGGCATCGGACGCAGCCCCAACGATGCCCAATAGCGCGCCGAGTCGTGCGCAAAGCGGACATGATGCATCTCCCGTGCATGGCGCTGGTGGGCGCCAAAGGTCGCTGTTGGGTGCTGTCTTAGCGCTATCCGGCGCTACTGAGCGCCATCTCTCGCTCTTGGGCGCTACTCGCCGATGTACATTCGATCCAAGACGAGAGGCAGCCGCCGTGACGGCAAGGTCGGCAAGGGCCCTCTTCAGGAGGGTGCTCTGGTGCACGGCTCGGCCGGCAGCTCCGGCGGGCAGGCCCAGGGGGGGCCCTCCTCTGGGAGTTTCGGGGCCCAGGAGCTGGAGGGCAAAGTCCACCTGCTTCCAGAAGACACGTCTGGGGCCTATGCCAAATACCGCTCTCACTGTCTAGCCACAAGCGACTATAGACACATTGGATGTCGATCCGTAACTCTCTCTCTATCTATCTCTCTATATATATGCAGATGTAGAGACACATTCGGGGTGGGTACGTCTATAGACAACGCGGCCGTTGCGTGAGACGCAGTACAAGGTTGGTGAAAGGGTAAATCCGTCTGCGGCATGCTCCTATTCTGGAGCAGCTCCCACATGCCACGCCAACCCAGGAGGCCTCCTGGAGGCCCCGCGAATAGCAGCTTTCCTCTGCTGCTTCCCCGCGAGGAGGCCACGAGAGGCCAGCGGGAAGCCCAGGCGTGCCTCGGGACGCTCCGGTAGGCCCCGGGTCGCTCCCGAAGGAGGGCGGGGAAAGGCAAAGGGGAGAATGGGAGAGGCCCAAATCTCAGACGAGATGTTTTTCAATCCTGGCGTGTCTCCTCGATGTCGGCCTGTTGGGCACGCGATCGGGCCCCGGGGCAGTCAAATACTGATACGGGACGACAGACTATCCCCAGGGAGGCGGACGGGACCTCAAGGGCGGGAGGAGGATGATGAGAAGATGATGAGGAGGAAGAAGAGGAAGAGGAGGAGGAGGAACCTGTCTATCCGACCCCTATTCCCACCAACCCTCTGGGCGGATGTGGTCCCAGAAGCTCGTTCTGCGAACCTCCTTTCTTCCCCTTCGAGGAAGGGCCATATCTGCTCCTGACTGAAGTTGTAAAGCACCCCCTCCCCTACCCAACTGCCGACAATCCAAAAATAACGCCCCCCCCGCGGATGGTCGGCATAAACCGTACGATATAGACTTTGCGGGAAAAGGATCTCTCGATCATTCGCGGGCGCCCCGCGATCCCTTTGCACTCTTCTTTGGCAGGGATGATCCCTGGAACGCGCGGCGCACCTCGCGGGCGTCGCGCCCCTGGCTCGCGTCTGCATTGGATCCCCACGGTTGTCGATGCCGGCCTGTCCATGCTGGTGATACTCGGGTGCTACGTATGTGTTGGAAGGGCGGGTGGGAGTGAGCGAGACGGTTTGTGGCTTGTGGGTAACTTGATCCCCCCCCTGCCCCCTGGGTCTGGAGGAGAAGAGGGAGCGCGGCGTTGGAGCGTCGAAGATGGCCCGAGATGGCTCCATGATGGCAACAGAAAACCGAAGAGAGCGTTCAAGATCGATTAATACAGCCGGAGATGGTAAACGACCGCTTCCCGCATGCGTCCAGGAGGCCCCAAGACCGCCACAAAACCGTTCCAAGTGGCCGCGGACCCTCCCAAGGACGCCACCGAGAGTCCAAAACCTTCAAAACGCACGGCGGGAAATCAGTGTGTGTTTCATTCTCGTCGTTTCGCTCCCGATGGGCTCTGGTGGCCACAAGATGGCTCCCGGATCGGGCAAGCGAGCGCCAAGAGGGCACACAACGGCGCCAAGACGGCCCAAGAGCGCCCAAAGGCGCACCTTCCCCCTCCCCCCTCCCCTCCCGCAAGGGAACACTCCGAGCGGCCCTAGAAGCCCCAACCCTCAAAGCTTGGCCCTCGAGACTCCGCACGGCCCCCCCTCACCTCCCACTCGAGGCGTCCAGAAGCGAACCGGAAGGCCTCTGGAGGAATTGGAGAAGACGGGAGAAGCAGGCAGCACACCTGCACTATCGAACCACGAAGGCCCCGGTCGCCACCAAGACCGCCCTCCCACGCCCTCGTGCTTCCGAAGATGCGACATTTTCAATCCGCGAACCCAAGAGGTTCCGACCCCCCTCTTGGCAATTCTTCACCCCAAATAGCTGTCTGATGGGCTGGGTGCCCGCGAACAGACCACGGAGGCCGACATCGAAAGTACAGTAAACGATCAAATTGGAAAACTCCGATGAACCCCTTTGTGACCTGCAGGCGGGTGGCGCGTGATATAAAACACACGAATATCGAACACAACATGGACAAGTTCTCGAGAGTCGAGCGTCGAATCGGTAGAGGTTGGTATGGTCTTGTTGGCTTGAATCGGTCAGCATGTTTGTTTGATGGTTGCTACTTGCGCTCGGAAGTGTTTCCTGCCGTTTTACAACTGGTTTTGTTTTGCAGCATGCTCGGAGTGATTGACGAGCGTTTGTGTCGCATGGACATTTAGCAATGTATGACGTTCTGCGGACTGCAAGAGGCAGAGAAATGCCAGACATTCACCCATCACGAGGAGTCTCTCACGATGCCAGGAGGGGCCCTCCATGAGTAGCCCGAGAGCGCCCCCTTCCCCCTGTGCTGTGCCGCGCTGTGCTCAGTGCGTCGCTGAAAGACGAAACGCAATTACAAACGTCACGACACCCAAATTACGGGAACGCTTGGCTGGCGCGTCTCCCGTCCGCCTGGACAACAACCTCCGCACTTCCAGAGAATGGAACCTGGCCTTGTGCACAGAGTGGCGCGCCAGCGCGTCGAGTTTACCGAACACAGCAACTTTCTCTTCCTGCAGTGGCGCACACCTGTTGGATACCTTCTGTTGGAAGTTATGAAAACCTCTCGTGTCATATTGCTGGCTCTTGCGAAGCGACGCTGACCGACGCGAATCGACGCCATTCGACGCAAATCAACGTTAAAACGATGCTCCTCGACGCTTTCTCATCGATCACCAGACGATATCGCGCGCGATTGCACTTTAGATGCGGAATTCCGAGGACACACAAGGCTGCCATGATTTGCGAGTGAAAACACACTTTCCCTCCGTCCCCACCCTCCCCTTCCTTCGGTGAGGCTGTCATTCTGACCACAAGGCTCCTCCAGGCCAGCGACCCGGTTTCGATTTGATTCGGGACGACTCGCTGGCGATCCGATTCGTTTCTGGTCCCATCCGATTTCGCGGGTCGAGCAATCAGTCTGGGTTCAGGGGCCACACGTCGACTCCAGACCACTGCTGGGATGACTTCTTTATTTGTCCCAACCATCCTGTGGTGTTGGGTCCACGTTTTGAAAAGACAGCGCCCCGCGTACCCTCCTCCCTCCCTTCCTTCCTCCTTCCTCCTCCCCCATCCTCTTCCTCCTCCTCCTCCTCCTCCTCCTTTTTCTCCTTCTCCCCATTTCCTGCACCATCCTTGCCACTGCCCCCCGCATGTCCATTCTGGCAGGCGACGCACACGTTGCGTGTCCCCACAGGGAGCTCTACCCGATGGCCCCAATGGCAGCGCTTGCATGCGGTTCCATTCTCCAGTCCGGTATACTTGTCACACGCTTCGTGGCCTCATAGGGAGCCCCGCCGAAGGCCCCAGTGGCTGCGGTCGTATGCGCCCGCCGCGCTCATCTAGGTGCACCCCTCACACGTTTCGTGGCCCCCAAAGGGGGCTGCACCGAAGGCACCAGTGGATACAATCGCATGCGCCCGCTGCACCCATGTCGGCCCACCCCTCACACGCTTCGTGGCCCCGTGGGGACCATGGGGAGCTCCACTGAAGGTGCTGATGTTCCCTCCCTTCCCACCTCCCTTCCCGCCGCAGCAGGACTTGACGCAGCAGCGCTTTCGGTCCCAGCCCCGGCTGCGGCGACGCAAGGGGCAGGACGACGACGACGACGACGACGGCGACGACGACGAGGAACCACCGATGACAGTGCTCACATTTGCGTTACTCACGACTGCATATGCTTGGGTCCTTCGCCAGGCAAATTTTCTGTGGAATTCGAGTCGTGGCGACATGTTGGGCTTGCTCCAACATCCGTCGGGACCCTGAGATAATATGGTCAATGCATTTATTTCACCCTTGCTTGCTCGAGGAGGTTCTCTGATCCAGAGTGGCCGACGCGCCGCCTGGCGAAAGGCTGTCTGTCCATCCCAATGAGCCACACTGTACTTCCTCCGCTTGTGCCCGACAGGCTTGACTAGAGGCCTCCCAAATGGGGTCCGAGCTGATGGGGTCGGAGGATCGCGCCGTATCGCCGATGCACCGGAGACATTGCCGACGATGCATCGGCGACGTCGGTGGCGCATCGGCGATGCTGGCGCGGAGAAAACCAGACTACGCATCGAGCCGCATCGCCGATGCATTGGCGATGCGGCGCGATCCTCCGACCCCGCTCCATCTACTCGGACCCGCTCCTCGTCTGGTTTATGGGTCATAGTTCGGCTCTGCGGCGGCCGTTCGGGACGATCTGGGAAGCCCTGGAAAGCTCGTGGCGAGCCGCAGCCGCTGAAGACCACTGAGAACCGACGACATCGCCCGAAAACCTAAAACTTTGGGGACCATCTAGGCGCCCTAGACTTACCTGACCCGAACCCAGACCCCCGACGCTATGACTTGTTCATCATAACGTCGATCCCTAAGGGTCTCGACCCATTCCCCGGGACTGGCTTTTCATCCTGAGCCGTTGTTTGACGGTCCCGAGGCCTGGTCAGGGCCACCAGCGGCCGAGAAGATCGAAAACCCTTCGTCGTGGTTGACTCACGACTCGAAAGGGTCTGGGAAGGTGGCTCCCCGGCCGCGCCTCCAACGCCACCGGCACCACCCGCGCCGCGTCCGCGCGCGACAGCGCCCGCAGGCATTCCCGGGCGGCCTGCGCCGGGGCGCTCACCTCGTCGAGGTCGTCCACGCTGGGCGTGTCGTCCTGCCGGAGGGGGGCGAGATCTGCACAGATCCACTGCTCCTGGCCAGGCCCATTCTGGGCCCGTGAGCGGTATGACACGCCCTCCTGGCTTGGCCAGGAAGGCGTATACACCGCTCCTGGACCCAGGATCGGCGTGACCAGGGGCAGTGCATATGCGTATATATATATATATATATATATATATATATTATATATATATATATATATAATATCCATCTATATACACTCCCCAAACAGTGCTTGCACTTAAGGGCTCTTACTTCTGCTCTGATGCACTGGGCTTGTGTGTCGGCCTGGCGGCTCCGTGCTGGCCGTCCCCGCCCCGTCGCCACCCATCGCTTGGGCTTGTGTGTCGGCCTGGCGGCTCCGTGCCCGCCGTCGCAACACCGTCGCCACCTCGTCGCCGCCCGTCGTGTACCACATCGATTGCATCACATACGCTGCATAACAGTGTTCGCCCAATATCGACTGTAACACAGTGGTTTCGCAGCGTATATTGCACATCGTAGATCGCACCACATCGGAGGTTGGGGGGTGAGATCGCAGTGGAACGGGGACCCAACCGGGATATCGTTTCGTTTCGTTCGTGTCGTGCGTGCGGGCGAGGCGAAACTGCGTGGGCGCGCGAGAGGAATGTCTCCGCCGTTGCTAGGGCGAAGTCAAAACAAATGACTCTCCCCCACCCGCCCGCCAGCCCGGCGATGGCTCGCGGTGTCCCGTGGTGTCCGCCGTTGCTGGGGCGACGTCAAGACAAATGATTCTCCCCCGCCCGCCCGTCCGTCCGTCCGTCCACCGGTGGCTCGCGGTGTCCCGGGGTGTCCCGTGGAATGATATCGATAGTGAAATCGATACTGGCGATGTGGTGCCCCGAAGTGCCCCGTGGTGTCCCAAAAAGTGAGATCGATACTGAGATCGACAGGTGTCCCGTGGTGTCCCGTTGAATGAGATCGATAATGAGATCGATAGTGAGATCGATGTGGTGTCCCGAGGTGTCGCATGGTGTCCCGTGGTGTCCTATGGTGTCCCGTTGACTGAGATCGATCGTGATATCGATAATGGGTCCGATCGTGAAATCGAGAGGCGTCCCGCGGTGTTCCGCGGTGTCCCGTTGAATGAGATCGATCGCGAGATCGACAAGTGTCCCGTGGTGTCCCGTAGTGTCCCGTTGAGTGATATCGATAGTGAAATCGATTGAATCAGATGTTGGTTCCCCTCCTCTCCCCCCCCACAACCTCCTTGTCACCCGAAGGGTAGTCGTATAGGTAGATTATACAACATCGGTTGCACTACATAAATTCTCATTTCTAAAAAAAAGAATAATCGACTCGACCCCCTCGGCTTTATCGGTGCACCCTTTTGTGCTGCAATTTACATATGATCCCGCCCCATCGTCCATCTTACGTATGACTCCGTACCATCCCAGCCCAACCGGTTTCGACCCCCCCCCCCCCGCCACCCTCGGCAAACATTTACTATGCGCGTGCAGTCGTTTATCAAAAACCATAAGTCTTCAATAGTCCCTTGCAACAAAATTGGACGAACTGCGCACTCGCGCGTCGTCGTGCCGAAATCTTTCAAAAACCTACGGTTTCGGAAGGATTGGAAAATCGAGTTTCCCCCAAACATATCAAAACACGTCGTTTCTAACACGAATGTTCCAAAAAAAGCTTGCGCGCGCGCTCTTGCGAATTCTTAAGACAACATTTTTTGTTTCCTCCCCCCCGTTTTTCGACCATGCTACCAAACGGGCTTCGCGCCCGCGCATGACGTCGCGCGCGCATGCTGGAATCCTTCAAAAACCGTCGGTTTCGTAGCGGCTTTTAAACCGAATGTACAAATAACATTCAGAAACACATGGTTTCGCAACATCAATTTCCAGAAAAGCTTGCGCGCGCTTTTGCGAATTCTTCAGGCAACTATGGGTTTTCCAACAAATTCATGGGATTTTGCCGAAGAAGCCTCTGGTGCCGCGTGCCGACATCATTCGCACGCCGTTGCGGGCGTGCTGGGGGGGGGGGGGGGGGGGGGGGGGCGCGATCCGTGTGCGCATGTCGAACTCATTCCAAAACCTTCATCGCCGACGCGTGGACGCCGTCATCGTCGTCGGCGTGGTCAACATCGGCGCCCGCACTGGCCGCGCCTTCGTCGGTGCGAACATCGTCACCAACATCGCCACCATCATCATCGTGTCTACCGTAATCGGCGTTGCCCTGATACTGCGCCCGCCCAAACTGCCGACTCGCAGTGAAGTGCCTACTGGGATTCGCCCAGCGGTCAGCGCCACCGCGGCCGCGTCGGTGGCGCCAAACTAGCTGGCCGCTGCGCGCGTGTGCTAAGGTTGGCGCGGCCGCAGAGATGCACCAGCCAACGCCAAGCATGCATCGCAATCGCTACCGCATGGGTTTTGCAAACCAAATTGCGGGTCGGTGGGTGGGATGTTTGCAAGAGCGTGGGATGTGTCTACTGGTTTGTTGTCGAAATCAATTGCACCACGTAGATTGCACGGCGCATGACCTCACCACATAGAATCTCCTTTCTAAAAGAAGTATAGACTCTACCCCCCCAGAATTAACGGGTCACCTTTTCGTATTGCAGTTTACATATGATTCTGTACACTCGCCCATCCTAAATATGAATTCATACTATCCCAGCCAAACCGGTATCGCCCCCCCCCCGCCATCCTCTGCAACAACAAACTATGGGCGCACTCTCGTTTACCAAATATAATAAGTCATCAAGAACCCCTTACAACAAATATGACGAAGTGCACACGCGCGCGCATGCCTAAATCCTTCACAAACCTGAGATTTCGGAGCGATTTCAAAATCGAGTTCCCAACAAACATGCAAACACACATGGTTTAGCAACACTGATTTGCTAAAAAAACCTACGCGCGCACTCTTGCGAAAGATTAAGACAACCATCGGTTTTTCAATATTTCCCAAACAAATGCTACCAAACGGGCGTCGCGCGCGCATGTCGAAATCTTTTGAAAGCCCTTGCGCGCGTGGCGTCGCGAGAATCCTCTGCAAAACTGGGACGAAGTGCAGACGGGCGCGTCGTCGCGCGCGCATGCCGAAATCCTTCAAAAACCTTCGGTTTCGGAGGGCTTTCAAAATCAAGTGTCCAAAAACATACAACGGCTTCGCAAGACGGGTTTTCAACAAAAGCTCGCGCGCGCGCTCTTGCGTCGTCGTCGTCGTCGCCGTCCTCCCTCCTCCCTCGTCGTCGTCGTCGCCGCCGTCGTCGTCCTCTGTCTTTCCTCGTCGTCGTCGTCGTCGTCGTCTTGTCGTCGTCGTCGTTTCCGTCGTCGTTGTCGCCGTGGTCGTCCTTCCTCCCTCGTCGTCGTCGGCGTTTCGTCGTTGTCCCTCCTAATTCGTCGCCGTCGTCGTCGTCGTCGTCGTCGTCGTCGTCGTCGTCTTCCCTTCTCCCTCGTCGTCGTCGTCGTCGGCGTCGCCGTCCTCCCTCCTTCCTCGTCGTTCGCGTCGTCGCCGTCCTCCCTCCTCCCTCGTCGATGTCGTCGTTGCCGCCGTCGCCGTCCTCTCGTTTCCCTCGTCGTCGTCGTCTTCGTTGGCGACGTCGTCGTCGTCGTGGTCGTGGTCGTCGTCGTCGTCTGCGTCGTCGTCGTCGTCGGCGTCGTCGTCGTCGTCGTCGTCGTTGTCGTCGTCGTCGTCGGCGGCGTCGGCGTTGGCGTCGTCGTCGTCGGTGTCGTCGTCGTCGTCGTCGCGGTTGTCGGCGTCGTCGAGGTCGTTGAAACGTCGTCGGTGTCGTCGTAGTCGTTGTCGGCGGCGGCGGCGTCGTCGTCGTCGTCGTCGTCGTTGTCGCTGTCGTCGTCGGTGTCGTTGCCAAGTGCCATTTGGTACCTAACGTCATGGTCTTAAGAGGATTTGCAAACCAAGTTGCGGGTGGGTGGGCGGGATGTTTGCGCGAGCAGTGGAGTGGACAACTCACTGCGAACAGAAAGTAACTGCACCCATAGACTGCACCACACATATCAATTACTCCACGTAGATTGCACACCATACGTTGCCAAAACGGCGCCGCTTGCCCAGGCCCCCTTCCAGGACGAGCCCCTTCCGATGCGAGACCCCCGCCCCCGAGGCTCCCCTCCGGCCGCCTACCCGCTGTAACAAAGCATTGGGGTCGTCACGGAAGGGTTCAAAGGTCGGACATGCCACCCCCGACCATGTGGAACTAAAGCTTTAAAAATTCTTGGTAGCCTAGGTCTCGTCAGCACAGCTCCGAATTCTTTTAAACAATGCTAGCACTCAGGGGTTCTCACTTCAGTTGCTAAGAGCTTAAATGGGTCCGCCGAGGTCTCGCTACGTCGCTGCTCATTGTCGCCGCGTTGCCGCCCACCGCGCACGGGAGGTTCGTCGAGGTTTCGCACCGTTGCCGCCCTTTGCCGCCACGTTGCCGCCCACCGCGCTTAAAGGGTCCGCCGAAGCTTCGCCAAATTGCAGCCGGTTGCTGCCGCGTTGCCGCCCACCGCGCTTAAGGGGGGTCCGTCGAGGTGTCGGCACGTTGCCTCCCGTTGCCGTCACGTTTCCGCCCATTGCGCTTGGGGGGTCGCCCTAGGTGTCGACACGTTTCCTCCCGTTGCCACCTCGTTGCCGCCTTGTTGCCGCCTGCCGCGCTGGGGGTCCCGTGCAGGTGTCGCCACGTTGCCGCCCATTGCCTCCTCGTTGCAGCCCACCGCGCTTGGGAAGGCCGACGAGGTGTCGCCACGTTGCAGTCCGTTGCCGCCTCGTTGCAGCCTCGTGTGCTGGGTGTGACCAGCGAGGTTTCGACACGTTGCCGCCTGGTGCCACTTCGTTGCGCCACATGGCTTCCACCACATTGGGGAAGCCAAAAAAGTACCGACACCGCTACTCCCCGGATCTCTCCCGGGGTGTGACCAGGATTTCGAGGCGAATCCAGCGGCGGCAACAAGGGCCCCCAGGAAGCCAAAACAAGGGAAAACGGGCGAAAGGTACCAGTATAGGTACCTTTCCGTCATCCGACACATAGACTGCACCACGCAGCTTGCACATCCACGCTGCAAATACCAACTGTTTGGGGTCCACGCTGGCAAGCTCCCCAAGATCTCCAGAGGCCTCCCGCAGCGCCTCCGCGGAGGCATCCAGGCATAGCGAGAGCCCCCACGGGCCGATCTAGCTCGAGACATCCCGCTGCGGTCGGGAGCCGAGGTCAATGTAGGTCACGCTGTTGCCATTTCGCGACGTCGGGTGTCAGGGACGCCAAGAGCAGAGCAAGCGGCGAGTGCCAAGGTCACGCCACCCGCTCCGACGCCAACATCTGCCTTTCCACATCATCGCTGAATTTCTCAACGTGCTCCCATAGTTCTTGCACGTATCGCGATTACGCGGGCACTTCCATCATATCCCTTCCAGCATAAGCGTTGTCTTCTCGTCGGCACTGCAAATGGTGCAAGCGAGACGCGGCGAACATCGAACCTCAACCCCGCTCTGATTACTGACGCCATGCCGTCGGAAACAGGAAGAGCCCGACCTTTCAGCCTCCGCGCCGCGCAGGAACGCCCAGGCCGAGAACGAAAGTGTTCCAGCCTGCGCGCCGCGCAGAGAGGTTCGTGCTTGTGTTGCATGATGTCCCTTCCGCGGCCGCCTGTCTCCTCCTCCCCTCTTGCATGCGGTCCAACTCGCGCTGCCGTGCCCCGGCTTCGCCCCCACGCGCGTGCGGACCGCCTCTGCCGCGCTGCGAGGCACAACAAGGGCTACACGCTGTGCGCGGCGCATGGCTCTGCGCGCCGGATCGTCGGGCACGGAGCCGCGCACCAAGGAGCGGACTACACGTCGTTCGTTTCTGATCGTGCTCGTTTCTAATTGTTCCTGGCCCCCCAGTGGCCAGGAAGAGGGCCAGGATAGAACAATTAGAAATGAAAGGATCTTGGCCCCCCAAAATCAAAGAACTTTCGAATGATTAGGAATGAGCAATGTGTACGTCTTTCGCTTCAGCGCCTCGCAGGCAGGAGCTGGGCCGCGAGCGAGAGAGCGGCATGGTCCGCGATCGCCTCCGCTGGTGGCCTCCGAGGTGGGGTCGGAGGATCGCGCCGCATCGACGTGGTATCGTCGATTCATGGCCGATGCATCCGGGATGCATCGGCGCCATCGGCGCGGAGGCAGTCGGCCTCCACATCGAGCCCCGTCGCTGATGCATCGTCGATGCGGCGCGATCCTCCAACGCCATCTCCCCGGACCCCATCTGAGAACGAAAACCCAGGGGCCGTACGCAGGATCCCATGGCGACCTCACGCCGCGGCCCACGCGGGCCGCCAGCGTCGCACATCGCGTGAAGAAGAGAGCGCCCACGCGCGACCCCTCGCGGGCAGCTCGAACGCCCACGTCGGCGCAGTCGGCCCCGTTTGCCGATGCCGCTCCGCTGGGAGGCCCGGATCCATGCCGCCGCGCAACCCGCGCGGAGGCTCCGCGCGTGCCCTCGCCCTCTCTCTGGCGGATCCGCCGGGGGCGGGGCCGCGCCGCGAGCGGGCGCAACGACCGGTGGAGGCGGTCGCCGATCCCGGCTCCCAAGACGCGTGGAGGATCCGTAACCTGCCTCGGACTTATCTCGAGCCTGGAGGTCTCCGAGATGGGGTCCGAGGATCGCGCCGCATCGCCCATGCATCGCCGATGCATCGGTGACGTCGGTGATGCATCGGCAACGTCGGCGATGCATCCGTGCCGTCGGCGTGGAGGAGCTCTGGCTCCACGTCGAAGCAGCGTCGATGCATCGTCGTCGCGGGGCGATCCTTCGATCCCATCTACTCGGACCGCATTTGGCAGGTCGAGACTATCCCTATCCCCAAGATTGGAAACACACAACGGCGATGACAAAATCTAAGGGGTGCGTCCTCGGAAACTGAACGGAACCTTGAGATCTGCATCGGGATAAGGCGGTGCCAGTGATAAGGACGGAGATGTGTATCAGGCTGGCAGATCAGGGGATCCACCCTGGCCCGTTTGCCGATCCGCGCCCAGCCGCGGAGGCGAGGGACCCCCCCGAGAGGGGTGGGTCCGAGAGGTCGAGCTGCGCGTGGATGCACTGTGCTCCCTTCGGGGTTAGAGATTCGAGGAGGCACCCTTCCGAAGGGGGGCCATGAAACGCCAAGGGGGCACACAACCAGGGGGGTCACCACCTCCTCCTGGGGAGGAGAGGGGGATGACCCCCAAGGTCCGTCAAAACGCACAGGTTCGTCCGAGAACGCGGGCCCTCACCCCTCAGGAATAGCTGGCGACCCCGCCAATGTTGACCCCCTCCTGGCGCTGCCTGTGGCATCCGGGTCAGCGCTGCCCTGTCTCAACCAAGGCCATGTCGCGAACCCCGGCCAGCTGCATATCAGCTCCCAGACCCGCATTAGCGGGGTGGGATGGTGGTGTGGGGGGGGGGGCAAATCCGCATGGCGGGTTCCGGAAACCCTCAACCCCAAATTGTTGCCGTCTCTTGGAAGTCCATGCGTTACTTCCGCCGGCTTCCGCCAACCTTCCGCCGGCTTCTGCCAGCGGAGGCGGCCTCGTCCAACTTCCGTCGTTTTCCGCCAGCCTTCCGCCACCTTCCACCGAGGAAGAGATGCCAACTCGTTCGACCCTCGAAGGCGAGGCCCTGTCTGGGACGCCTCGCACGGCTCCCAAGCCCGCTTCAGAGGGGATGAGGTGGGACTGGCGGCCGCCCGTTCGCGCTGAGCCCCTGCGCCCCGAGGAAGCCGGGCAAGCAGCGGCTCCTGACCTCATCCTTTTTTCTCATGGTTGGGGGAAACAGGAATCGGCTGTGATCAGATGCGTCCACGCCAGCCAGTACGGCGTTTCGTGGCCACATGGGGAGCTCCACCGAAGGCCCCCCGGACCTGTCCTGGGAGGGCGCTGGAGGCGATTCCAGCCGTGGCGACGAGGAGCCCCGCCCCCCCTCAACTGAGCTCTTACCAGAGTCCTTGATCAACGTGTCCTGCGCGCTCGATCAGTGCGCCGCTTGCGAGGGCAAGAGCTATGTTCGATAACACAAACCTCGAAACTGTTCTCCCACTCCCGACTCAACAAAAACTCACATTCAAGATACTCCGTGTTCTCCAGAGTGTATTTGCCCATAACAGAACATTCATTTTACAGACGATCTGTTATCCAATTTTCTTGTGCGCAGCGAGACCTGTTCGCGCAACGACGAAAGAGGCACGCGTTGCCACTTGTCAGAAGGGCGCGGCATTGCGCCTTGTTCCTCGCAGTACGAACTGGCTCCGGCACTCTCGTCGCCGGACGTCTGAGACCCATCCCGCAGAGCTGGCCGGAGTGCCGAGGCGAATCCTGGCCGTGGAGCCGAGGAGCCCTTTGCTTCAGGCTGCGGAGGATGAGGAGGAGGAGGAGGAGGAGGAGGAGGAGGAGGAGGAGGAGGAGGAGGAGGAGGGAGGAGGGAGGAGGAGGGCCCTCGATCCTCGAATCCTCGGATCCCTCGATGCCCAATCCTCGACCCTCTCGGCCCCTCGAACCAACGAGCCCCTCAGTCCTTCGATCCCCAGTCCTGCGATCCTCGATCCTCGAGGTCCTCCAATCCCTCGAAGTCCTCGAGGTCCTCCAATCCCTCGAAGTCCTCGAGGTCCTCGACCCTCGAGGTCCGGGGGGGGGGGGTCCTTGCACGCGAGCGCGACGGCAGGCACCACGGCGACAAGGGCCTGGTGCCGGGGCAGTCGCGCGGCCTCGCCTCGTGACCACCCATGATGCAAGCGAGGATACTTGGGGACGGCGAGGATGCCAGGGTACAAGGCGTAGTCGCCCCGTAACCCCTACGACGCAAGGGTACGAGGATAGAAGGATGCCCAAGGGAACGGCGAGGACACGAGGATACAAGGCGCGGGGAGGTGCCGGCTAGTCTCCCGCCCGCGCCCTGGAGGATGAGGGAGACGCACGGGGTGCCGCCACAGCTGGCGCGCCTCTCAGGCTCAGACAACAGTGCATAGTAGCGCACGTCTTGGAGTGCTTCCCGTCGAGAGTATCATCTGAGGCAGCTTTAGGGCCCCTCTCGAGCGCAGACCTGCGCGAATTCCCTTCAGACGAGGCCCTGCCTCGTCGAACAGTAAACACCACAATTCCATCAGAACGTGTGCGGCAGAGGGGGGAGGCGCGGAAGCGGATCCGACCGATTCCAGCGTTCTCATTCCGATAAAGGAGAGCGCTCCCTAGCCCCAACACCCCCGCCAACGGGGTGAGGGCCCCGAAAACCTCCGAACCAACTTTTTGTTTAAATTGGGTCACCGGGTCACCTGACCCACACCGCCGGGTCACCGGGTCGACTAACCCACGCCGCCGGGTCACTGGGTCACCGGGTCAACTGACCCACGCCGCCGGGTCACCGGGTCACCGGGCCAAAACTGACCCACACCGCCGGGTCATCGGGTCACCGGCCGGCCACCAGGTCACCGGGCCACCAAGTCACCGGGTCACTGGGCCAACTGGCCCACACCACCACGTCACAAAGTCACCAAATCACTGGGTTATCTGACCCACACCACCAAATCACCGGGTCACCAGGTCGCTGGGTCGCCGGGTCATATGACCCATCACTGGGTCACTCGGTCACTGGGTGGTCACCGGGTCACCAGGTCACCGGGTCAACTGACTCACGCAACCGGGTCACCGGGTCACTAGGTCAACTGACCGACCGCCTGGTCACCGGGTCAACTGACCCACACCGCCGGGTCATGGGTCAACAAGTCACCGGGTCACAAGGGCCACCGAACTGACCTACACCACTGGGTTCCCGGGTCCCCGGGTTCCCGCGTCCCCAGGTCACCGGGTCACCTGGTCACCGCGTGTCACCGAGGTGACCAAGTGACAGGGGGACCGGGTGACCAAGTCACCGGGCGACTGGGTGACGGGGTGACCGGGTCCATGGGTCACCGGGTCACAAGGTCACCGGTGGTCACCGGGTCACCAGCATGTCACTGGGTCACCGGGTCACCGGGTCACTGGGTCACCGGGTCACGGGGTCCCAGGTCACCGTGTCACAGGGCCACTGGGTCACCGGATCACCAGCGGCCTCCCCTTTTACGTCGTCGCAGACGCGGTCCCCGTTCAGAAGTATCTCGTTCGAGATGGCTACTGATGTCCGGGGTTCGCGTTCTTACGCAGAGCACTCTCTGGAGGCTACTGATGTCCAGGGTTCGCGTTCTTACGCAGAGCACTCTCTGGAGGAGATTCCGGATCGCGTTGTGCTTTTTCTTAAAGCGAATTTTCGACCAGCCTTATAGGCTGGCGAATTCGCAGAGCGGATTTTCGACCAGCCTTAGGCCGGTGTATTTGGAGAGCGGATTTTCGACGTGCCTTAGGCCGGAGATTTCCCAGAGCGGATTTTCGACGAGCCTTAGGCCGGCGATTTTTCAGGACACCATGCTCAGGCCGGCTACTTTTAAGGAGGTCTCTTCGTGTTTGATTACCCCGTCTTCCCTTGGTCCTCCAGTTCCTCTTCCGCCTCCTTTCCTTGAGCGTGTCAGTCGCGTCGATTTCTTTCAGGGATTGATAACGTCGTTTTTTAATCAGAATTCGCCTCCGGGCAGGGGTCCGCGGGAATCCGGATCCTTACTGTCGGTTGTTTCACAGCATCTCACCAAAATATCTCCTGGAGCCCCATCCTCACCAACGCAGCCGTCTCAGTCAAGGGTTCGTGGACGGGGCCAAGCCCGTGCCCGTCGAAGACGGCAGCGCCTCCTTCGCCCTGGGCGCCTTTTCCGACAGCGACTGAAGGGAATGCCGCCGCCCAAATCCTGCTCGCAAGTGCCAATTTTTTTTCGTTTCGGGGGCCTTGGGAGGCTCTGGCGGGCGCCGTTTTCAACAGATGTTTTTTTGTTTTGTTTGTTTTCCGCTTCCGTTCCCCAATGGCGGCGTTTTTTCGCTGTCGATCTGATTTCCGTATCCGAATCTCCAACAGTGCAAACTGAAAACGGAACAAAAAAACGCCCTGAACATTTCGAGAGACAACTGAGCCCCAGACGCCCCCCAACCCCCGCGACAGCACCCGCCAGCCTGGTCCGCCAGCAGGCTGCGGTCGCGCCGGCGAGCGAGGGCGCGCAACAGCTGCAAGGCCTTGGGGGGGGGAAGGGGCGCCTTCGAGCCGCGCTCCCTCGTTTCCTCGCCCCCCTCCTGCATCCCTGGTCCCCCTCCCTCGTCCGCTTCCGCCCTCCCCCCACCCGTTCTCCCCCCCGTCCTCCTCCTTCTCCTACTCCTCCTCCTCCTGTCCGTCCTCCTCCTCCTCCTCCTCCTCCTCCTCCTCCTCCTCCTCCTCCTCCTCCTCGTCCTCCTCGTCCTCGTCCTCCTCCCTCCTCCTCCTCCTCCTCCTACGTACTCCTTCTCCTCCTCCTCCTCTTCCTCCTCCTCTCCTCCTCTTCTTCCTCTTCTTCCTCTTCCTCCTTTTCCTCCTACTCCTCCTCTTCCTCCTCCCCCTCCTCCTCCTTCTATTCGTCCTTCTCCTCCTCCTCTTTCTCCTCTTCGTCCTCGTCCTCATCCTCCACCTCCTCCCTCGTCGTCCTCCTCCTCGTCGTCCTCCTCCTCGTCCTCGTCCTCCTCCTCCTTCCCCTTGCTCACTTGGAAGGGCTTCGGGCTGCGCGCAGGCAGCTACCCCCCAGACAGCCCCGACTGGCCTCAACAGGCCCCCGGCGTAGTGCCAGCAAGCCTCAACAGGTCCCCCCGCGTTGTCCAAGGCAGTCTCAATACCTCAACCGTGGGGGGCGGGGCGACCCAAGGCCACAGCCAGAGGCGGCGCCAGGGTGTCGAGACCGCCTTGACGACATACAAGGCGACTTGTTACCGAGCTCAATGGCAAAAAATGCCCAAACAACTTCTCGACCCAATCGTGAGAAGACGCGCGAATGAACCCTGGGGACGACGCTCTCGGGACACGACTCGGGCCAGAAGGCGGCCGCTCGGGACGATTCCCCGCATCCCCGGAATACCCTCGACGAAGCGCAGCGGATAGAAACCACCTCGCGGCTTCGAAACTGGTGTTGGTGTCTGTTCGGGGGGAGCCTGCCCCATGCGTGCTCGCGCCCCAAACAAATCGCGACCGGCGCTTATTCTCAATTTTCGGTTTCCATGCAGGGGCTTTTGCCTCGCCTCAGGACCGTCAAAAAAAATGACTCAGGATGAGAAACCACTCCTGGGGAATGGGTCGAGACCTCTGGGAATCGCTGTTATTACAAAACCATGACGTCGGAGGTCTGGGACGTTGCCTCGGCGCTGTCCGATTCGGGCCTGACCTGGAACAGATTTGGAGCACGTTTGGGACTGGATGTGGTCGGATTTGCGCTTGCAGGGGATACGGGAGGAGGAACAGGAAGGGCGAGGATCAGATCAGACGCCGATCGGGGCCAATGCCCACTTCGTCAGACACAGAAAGCTTTGGTACCGACTGAACGGCCGCGAAGTTCAGGCCCCAGCTTGCCCACTGCCAACAAGCTCCCAAAACCTCTAACATCACTTGCGCATTTTTTGCAACGGGAACCGAGGAGGCGGGCAGCAGCAGCACCATCCACCGAGTCGCCAAATCCACCGACACGAAACGCACGGACATTCTTGCCCTCCGTCCGAGCACGCTTGGGAGGAGGAGGGGGAGGAGGAGGAGGGGGAGGAGGAGGAGGAGGAGGAGTAGTAGGAGGATGAGGAGGAGGACGAGAGGGCGGCGGACAAGGCTCAAAGGAGGGCGAGGGAGGAAGATAGATCTCCATGGCCTGGCACGAGGCGGCGGCGGCGGCGGCAGCGGGATCATGCTTTGCAATTGCGGCACCGCAGGTGCCAGATCTCGCAAACGTCCGAGAGTGTGAGGAACACTCCGTCGAACTTTTTCTCGGACGCGCTGAGCTCGACACAGTCGTCAAATTTCCCGCGCCCTTGGAGTAGACGACATACTCTGGATCACATTTGGCCCCCGAGTGTCGTCAGACATCACCATGCAATTCAGATCAGACTCATCAAGAAAGCACGGCTCATGCAAACCATTCTTGTTATACCCAACACCACGATCAATCATGTTTAGTCCATCGTCGCATTCCCCATGGAGGTCTGGAGCACCCTTTCGAGGTGTTTCATCGAGGCCGTGCCATTTTTTGGAAACAAACCAGCTGCACCGATCACTTCGCGCGCACACTTAGCGATGTGTTTTGCGCCGGCAGTATCTTGCAATCGTTTTCTTTGAAGGCCGACTGCAACTTCACGAACGGAAGCTCAGCCCCCACCTCGCATAGAGTGTGCCGTTCATCTCTTGCTTCCACGCCTTGAGCCTGTCCTGATTGCGGGCGTCCGCTGGCGCTCCTGCCGCTTCGCGTGCCCCGCGAGGGCCGCGGCGCCGACGCTGCCGAGCTCGTCTACCTCCTCGTCCTTGCCGCGGCCCCTTAGTCCCGCGCCGCCTCCGCCCGCCCTCGTGCCCGAAGCTTTGCGCGAGTCGCAAGCGCCGCCGACTCCGGCCCGATCGGCGCGACCATGGCAATCGACTCCTGCCGCCGCGTTCTCGTTGAGAGGTCCAGCGCGACCTTCGTCGTCGCAGGGCCGATCCTGCGTGCGTGTTCGGGCTCCGCCATTTCTAGCTCGTCGATCTCGTGCTTCGGCGCCGCCTTGTTGCTGGCTGGGCTGTCTTCTTCGCCTTCGCGCCGTCTCCTGCCGAACCTGCGCCTCGTCTGCCTCGCGCCGACTGCCCCGCCGCGCGCTCTGCCGACGGGGCTGATGCGGGGCCGAGGAGAACTTGCCACGTGATGTCAGGAACAGGTAGGAAGGAAGGCGTCCGCCCATGTGGCGCCGCGGCAACTCGAGAGACTCAGGCGGCCTGCGACGTTCAGGGCGCGCGCGAGGCTCGGGATAAACAATTGGCGGATCAAACTTGGGCGGGCAAACTTTGCAGCGCCCAAATCTGTGCGAATTGACGGGGCGTCTCACCGACGTCTCTCCGCAATTGGAGGTGGATGAGCGGGCAGGGCGCTGGCTTGTGATGACGAGCTCTTCCGCGGTGGTCGGGGTCCCGCGTTGGCCTCCAAAGGCCGGTCTGTGACGAACAAAAAGTGCCCGCCTGGTCCTGGGCCTGTTCCCGCAGGGGGGAGCCCTGTCAGCGTCCCGCAAGGCGCGGCAGTGCCCCCCCTCCGCCAACTCCCCAGGTTCACGTTCCGCGATCACACGCGAAGATAGTCTGGGAAACCAATGGCCCGACATTGTTGCTCGGCTAACTCCAAGGAGGTCTCGAAGTCACTCGTGTTGCCCCTGGGCGCGCTCATGGGCTTGCCCATCCATAGCTTCTACTGCATTCCCCCTCCTCATGAAGAGGCATGCGCTCCAGATCTTCGAACAAGTCACTGGCCCGCGCGTTGCTCCTGGAAGCGCTGCTGGGGCGCGCCATGGGGCCCGGGGGCCGTGGCAGAGATGCTGCAACTTCCACTTCGCATTCAAACGCGTCGCAGACAGCCGCGAGCGGCTGCCCATGATGACCAGGGCACTTAGCGATGTCTTGCCATTCTTGTAGTCTCTTCGCGCGCTCGAACACTTCAGAGAAACAGACTCGAGTTTCGCCGCCGAAAACTTCGCCAGAACCAAAACCGTCAGGCCCGATGGACCTGCTCCAATCACATTGCTCCGAAACGTCAACGCTTCTGATCTCCGGAAAGTGCATTGAATCCAGAAGCGTCTGATATGCGCCCATCCCTGAGTCATGGCTGAAACTTTCGCCGCCATATCAGGGGCCCAGGACCGATTCGCAATGGGCAGAAACCCCAAGAATGGTACATACGGGGAAACCGCACTTGAAAGGGGCCTGGCCTCGCGCCCACATGGAACAACCGCGCGTGGAGAGCGCGTGGCCCCAGGGCCAGCGATGCGCGGTGCGGGCTGCTTCTTGCCCTGGCTCTGCAAAGTGCCAGGTTTCTGTGTGTTCTTATCTAGATGCATGTCTGTGCAGCGCATGTCACTCAAGGCTTCGTCAGAATCGCGCGCGACATGCGTCTCGTCGACGTCGTCCGCGACCGCTCGCAGCGACAGGTTGCAGACCTGCTCGGCGATGGGGCTCTCGCCGCAAAGTCCATGGGCACGCGCGGCGCGCGGATCCCCCGACCATTCTCTGATGAGAAGATCAGAGGCCTCCTGGAAAGTCGTGGCATCATTCGCGCCTCCCGCTGCCCCCCCCCCCCCCCCCCCCACCACTGTTCTGAAACACTTTGTGCGCGCCGTCCACTCGGACATGCGAGCCAGCTTCCCTACCTCGAAATCGGAATATTTTGGCGTCAACCTCAACGTGCAGGCAACCAGCGGCTTGCTCAATCGGCGTATGCAAGGTTCTTAAGTGTAGACAACCTCTTCTTTGAGCCCTCCAAGAGACTCAGATCGCCGCGGCGGAACAGACAGCCCCCGTGCGATACCTCCCGGGCAGATGCGCACTTTCGTGCACTGGCAGACCTCCTGGGGGTCCGTGGGCCGTCTTCGCCCGCGTCTTCCAGAAAGTGCACGGCCCGTGCAGTTGCCGTGCGCCTGGAGAGCGCAGCGCCCCATTCTCTTTAGATGGCTGAAAGGTAAGGACGTGTTCCACTCAGATACTGAGCGACCCTTCATTTGTCGAACTTTGGCTAGCGCGCGCCAGGCCCGCTCTCCGAACAGCTCCCCGAGACCGCCGGGAGGCTTGGCGCCCGGTCCAGAGGCGCGGTCGCGAACCTCAGGATGCTTCGGTAATAGGTTTGCCCTGGCTTCATGTGGCGCATTGCAGGGGACTGCCGCCCGTCGTCTCTTCGCAATGCGAAATCCTTCATAGATGCGCGCGAACTCACAACTAGCCAACTTTACGCGCTGCTCGGCAGCCCGTCTCTGTCATGTGCCGACGCGTTCGCCGCGGAGAAATTCTCGGCCACTTCTTGCGCGGACGCCCCCCTCGACTTGGCGGCGTAATTAAACCCTCCGCCCGCTGCGCCATGCGGGCGCGCGGGCAGCGGCGATGGCGCCGAACTCGCGGCGACGTCGGCCCGCGCCGGCGCTATATATATATATATACGTATATACCTCAATGTTTTTTCTTTCTTTGTTCTCTCTCTCTCTGTTCTCGAAGCCGACGACGTGCAGGGCGACGCGTACTAGTCGTTGTATTCAGCCTTGGCGAAGCCTCCGTGGTGTCGCCCGTATTCTCACGTGCCCTCTCTCTATCATTTTTTTCTTTCTTTCTTTCTCTCTCTCTCTCTCTCTCTCTCTCTCTCTCTCTCTTTTCTCAATCTCTCTTTTTCTCTCTCCCTCTCTCAGTGCGCGTGCTCTCTCTTGTGCCAGCTTAAGCATTCTGGTGTGTAACGGGCAATGGTTTGGGGGCCGCCTCGAAAATCATGCGCCCTTCGTTTTGCGCGAGTCGTGGAGGCTGTTGCTGCGCATGATTCAAGAGTGCCAGCCGTTTCTACTAGATCCCACGCTGTATCGACACACTTCTGCATAAATGAGCTCCCCACTGCCTCCTCCGCCTTCGCGCGCAACTCATCCGATACATGTTCTGGCCTCAGGGCTTGTCCCATGCCGACATCGCCCCGGCGCTTTCTAGGTGCTTCAATATTTGCGCCCAGCCGTAGATTCAGCCCAAACCAATGCGCAATGTGATCGCGTGGTCGTTGCCCAAGAATTCTCTGTAGTTTGCGGGTGGGCCTCATCTCCCGAGAAGAAGACTTCGCACTGCGTGCGCGTGCTGCAGGTCATCGCCTATGATTTACCCGCGACACGTGCTGCCGCACCCCATATTCACGATTCTCACTCTTTTCGATGATGGTTTCCCGCTTCCACGCAGCTCCAAACTAAGATGGCCCCGTATGGACGAAGGTCTTTACCACTGCCAAGGCGTATGACTCTGCCAATTCACGAAAAGTCCGCCTGCCTGGTGTTCAGCAGTCAGTCCACGTTGGCCAACTGCAACATCGTCCACTTTGGCAAACCTTTTCCCCCCATTCTCGCCACTCCCGCCACAATCCATTCCCAACTGCAGTATCATCCCATTCCCGCCATTCGAACCAGCAGCTACAGTTGGACACGTGCAAGAAGGAAGAAATCCAATGACGCGTCGCGTGTAGGCCGCAACTTTCTCACGCGTCGCTCTCAACCTCGGTTGCTGTCGCGGGTCCTTGCTTCTGGGTGGGATATGCAACTCAATTTACGTCGCACTACCATACATAATGAGTCGATATGGTTCCAGCCGCCCGTCCACAGATGTCCAGGGGTGGTGTCCATATCTGCGCAATGTCTTTAGCGCGCTCAGTCTGTTCATTGAAATAAAAAGCAAATTCCAAAACTCGAATTCGAGAGCTCGCTTTTCACATGCTATCCACACTGGCTTGATTTGACATGCGGCAGATTATCCACACCGTGCGCTTGTTCATGCGATCTGTCCGCAGCAATAAAAATGATAATGCCAATTCTCCTGAACTCCAAACCAATATCGAGCTCCCTGTCCCTGTATGAGACCGACAAGGGGCTCCATCACATAATTATCATGCACATTACTTCTCACGCCACGCACACATGCACGAATCGGACGCAGTGCCCACTTCAGGCACACGTTCTTCATGAAGCACTCGCACTCTACCAATCACAGTCGCACGAGAGAGAATAACGAGAAAAGGGCATCGCAACATGTGCAGTGGGGAGCCAGAGTGTGAGTGGGGCAGGCGATGGGGCCAATGTCTAGAAATCGGGCGCGCCGTGCCCAAGCGAACTGCCGTGCAGTCGCAGCACGTCGACGCCCTGCGCCGCGCGGCTGAAGGGCGAGGGTGAATAGGAGCATGGGCCAAATGCGGTCCAAATGCAGCTAAAACTCATTTCAATGTCGCCGCCCAAAGCTCCAAAGCTCCTTTGAACAGACATCGAACACACCCGAATACCCTACCCAGAAAAAACAACAACAACCCTAATAGCGGCATAGGTGAAGAGGCGGGTCGAGAAGTATGGAGTCGGCTAATTGAAACCTGTATTTCTGGGTGTGCCTAAGGACTCCTAAAAAACATTCAGCCAAGGCAGAGGTGAGATCGCGGCCGCGTGCATTGTGGCGTCTTTTCGCAAGGGATGGTGCCCAGCTGGACCAAACAGGTAGTTGGCATTCAAGCGATGGTGCGACTGCGGAATGAATTGTGAGGAAGTGTCTGGCAAAACGGCTGCCCGATTGGGCGTCCTCGGGGACTGGAAAGCCTTAGGCAAGCCTGCGGGTATCGAACCTGTTCCCCCTTCCTGGTCGGTGCCCGGCCGCCTCGGACTATCAGCCGGCGCAAAGGGGCATGGTTCGAGGTTCGGGGCTCGAGGCTCTAGGGTCGACGTGCAAGGTTCGAGGGATCCGTAGAGTAACCACAATGCAACAACACCGCAATTCCCTGGATCTCTTCCGGGGTGCGTTCTGACCAGGATTTGGAGGCGAATCCAGCGGTGGCGACGAGGGCCTCCAAGGAGGCCCCAAAAGGCGAAAACGAGGCAAGGGCAGCGGTGTGGGTACCATGTCCTCCTCTGAGCTCGAGGATCGAGGTTCGATGGCTCGAGGGGTATGGATCGAGGTTCGAGGTTCCGAGGGGCATGGATCGAGGTTCGAGGCTCGAGGGTTGACGTGCGAGATTCGAGGGGCTCGAGGATCGAAATTCGCTGGCCGAGGATAGATCCTCGAAGGCTCGGCCCTCGGCCGCCCCGCGGCGAGCCTGCACGCGGCAGTCCTCGGCGCAACGCGCGCCGCCCGCGCTGTCGCCGAGGACCCGAGCCGCCAGCTGCGCGCAGGCGGTGCTGAGGGCCTGCCGCGGGCAGCCCAGCGGCGAGAGAGGGTGACAACAGAGCGCGGAGGAGCCGGAGGAGGGAGAGGAGGACGTCTCCTCCTCCTCCTCCTCCTCTTCCGGCTCCTCCTCCTCCTCCTCTTCCGGCTCCTCCTCCTCCTCCTCCTCTTCCGGCTCCTCCTCCTCCTTCTCCTCCGCGCTCGCCGGGGCGCGCTGGAGCTGCCGCGGGCAGCCGCGCGAGGGGACCCTGCCAGCGGGGGGCTCTCGAGTAGATCGGCTACATAATCGATGTTACTCCGAAGTTGTTTTGTTCGTCGAGTCTACAGAAAGAATTAGCACAATGCTCGTATACCTGTGGACCTACGCGAATTCTGCGAATCTCATGTAGCTTCGACGATAAAAAACAATTCTGAGGCAAGTTAATTCTGCAGTCGATCTCCTAATTACGCGAAGTGCGGCAAGCTTGGCCGCCCCGATACGCAGCACGCAACACGCAGCGCGTTGACACGGAGCTCGACACGCAGGCTGAAGCTACAGGCCTGGCGCGGTACATTCGCCGAAGCGTGGGTCAGCACGTGCCGAGCCAACGCGCAGCGTGTTAGCACAGAAGTTTTGAGCACGGTACGTGTTGTGTTTCAATGCGGGCATATCAGGGCAGCTCGGGTGGCAGGCCATAGAAGCCTCCCATGCCATCGACGCTCACCGACGCCAATCGACGCGAATCGACGCTTAACCGGCGCTAATCAACGCTAAATCGACGCAACATCGAGGCCTGTCGGCGCTAAATCGAAAGCGAACCCTGCCAGCAGGAAGTGTGGCGAGTCATGGATGCCTCCCATGTCTCGGCGGCGAGCTCGGGGAAGTGAGAGGGGGCAGGCCTTCTCAAGGCGTCGGGGCTTCTCACAAGCCCTCGCGCTTTCTGAGAAGGCGTCTTTGTCTTCTGGAAAAGCTTTTACAACTTCTCAGAATACCGGAGGCCTTCCGAACCTTCTGAGAAGGCCACCCCATCTGACTTCCCCACTGGGCTCGCCGCCGAAAGTCATCTAGCTGGCTCTTGCGGATCGACACTCACCGACGCGAATCGAGGCTAACTCGACGACAATCGGCGCTAAATCGGTGCGAATCGACGCTAAATCGAGGCTATGTCATCGGATCCCAAACGCTTGCGCACGCGAAGGCATTCCGCAAACGGAATTCCGGAGAAATGCAAGACTCCCACAAAGCCTGCCACAGGCAGCGACGAGGGCGAAACATGCCAACGGGGCGTGTGCCAACACACGCCCGCGGATTATAAATGTGTCAGGACGGAGTGTGGTTTTGATATTTCTGGACTGGGGTTCCTTATCAGCTCCCGGGACAATCAAAACATTACTCGGAACGAAAAACGGGCCCCAGGGAAGGAGTCTGGACTTCTGGAGACCCCCCAACATTGAACAAAACAATGCATTGCATGTCTGGTTGGCGACCCCCCTCCCAGACTTGTTGTCCGGTTTTCAACCCAGGAAATGAAAAAAGGTACCAATCCAGCTGCTCGTCCTGGGGGGTCACCGCCAACAAGGCTGCGTTCTCCTTGAAATTCTGGTTAGAACGCCCCCCTGAAGAGGTCTGGGGAGTAGGGGTATTTATCGGTACTTCTGCATCCCCATCGACTGGACAGCAAGGTTGGGGCACAACAGGGGGATATTTGATTGAGGGGGCGTCAGAACTCGATGTGGGCGCGTCCGAATATTAAACCCTCCAGGGAGGAGGATCGATCAACATCAAATCGGAAGACGAATCGAGTCAGAATGTGCGTCGGATCGGGCTGAATTGGCATGGACCCGAAATCAGGTCGAATAGGCTGCGCCAGGATGCACACCAACGCCATGCAAGTATCGGGCCGGACAGCCAGAGACAGCCAAGAGAGGCCAGAATGGCCCGTGATCGGTTACCCGTAATCTTGGCTGGGCCAGGGCCAAACAGATCCTGTCTCGCCCGTGCCCCCTGCCCGTGCCGTGCCGCCGTGGCGCCTCCGCGGGCTCCCCCCATGGTGCGGCCGCGCGCAGCGGTGCCCCAGTGGCGTGGGAGCGCCCACAGCCTCGCTGTGGAGGCGCGGCCGCCCGGGCAAGGCTTCGGATTCAATCTGAAGTTCATCCTGCACCCTGCACCTGGTCTAGGGTTCCGTCCCGGCGTCCCCGGAGGCGGTCCCCATCGCGGGCGCCCTGGAGTCCACCTCTTTCCAGGACTGCGTCGGCTACGTGCTCTGCCTCGACTGGCGGGTCTTCGACAACGGTCCCTCGATGCAGGAGGCCCTATTCACTTTCGACTGCGACGGCGACGGTGCTGGGGTCGGCAGCCGCCCTGCCGGGAGCTACCCCTTCCCACAGTGCTTGGTTTTCGGGTCGTCGCAAGAGCCCCTTTGCCCCGCACCGGCACCGGTGGAGTCGGGCGCTTTGCGGCTCTTCTGGCATGCGCGCCGCCGCAGGTGCCTGCTACTGGCCATTGTATTGTTTTTCGTGTCTGCAGCTTGGGATGCTACTGGTCATAGTGGGAGGCCTCCAGATGAGGATTCACTACCCGAGGACGCGGCCACCTTCTCCGTCAGCTTCATGTCCACATTCGTCATAGGATACATATTGTGGTTGTTCGCAGTTGGGGTGTTGGCCGTTGTGAAGGCGATGGAGTTCATGCTGCGCCTCTGTACCCGTTTTCGCTCCAACGCTCCCGCCTGGTGCGCGCACCGCCTGCGACTTATGCGCAAGTGCGTCTGCGCCTCCGTGAGCCTCAGCTTTTGTCTCGCTGCCGCGGGTACCGTGGGAGCAATCGTGGGTAGCACCGTTGGAATATTGGCCACAGCAGTTCAGTGGCACCACCTGCCGCCTTTTCCGCCCGCGCCGTCCCAGCCGCCTGGGTCGCTGCAAGGCGGAATTTGGTTTTCGACGCCACCTTTGGGTATCCTGGGGAACGCCCTCCGCTTCCAGGCACTCCTGTGGGTTCCGAGTGGCCGCGTGGACGGACGCGGAGTCGCAGCGCGGGTCGTGGTGCTTCATCGCCGCCAGGGGAGCGCCAGAGGGCTGGAGACGGGGGTGCCGCTGCGAGGGGCGGCTCGGCGCCCCCAGTGCCAGCAGACCAGCGCGCCAACCCAGCAGTCGGCGATTTGGAAGGCGGAGTTCGCAGGCTGAACTTCGACGAGGCCATGCCGCCTGCACTGCCGGCCCCGCCGGCACGGCTTCACTGTCCAGTGGTGGGATGCCCCTGTTCTGACACGAGGCGACATCCCCGCTGGGCCACTCTCCCAACCTTGTGCCGACACTTGGACGCCCACCTCAGTGGCCAGCTGCACGGGCACGTCGAGGACGAGTGGCTCCGCCAGCAAGGCCGCACTCGCTGCCGGGCGTGCGGCCTGTGCGTGGCTGCCCGCAGGGGCGTGCACGCCTCTTGCCGCCCCGCCGACCGTGCTGCCGCGCGGCCTGCAGCCCCGCCCGTGGCAGAGCCTGGAGCCCCGCCGGCCGGTCAAGGCGTTGGGGGACGTCCATCCCTGGACATCGTCCACGCGGCGGCCGTGTCTACCCCCCGCTACGCGCCCGAACGAGCCCGGCCAGCTTGGTCTCGAACGCTTTCCCGGTGCCTCGCCAACGCGGCGGTGCACAACTCGGCCTCAGCTTGGACCGACCTGCAGATGGTGGCCAAGTGCGTCCTCTGCGTGCCGCCGCGCACGGGCAGGAAGAACGAGACCGCGCTTGCCGCTTTCACGCTGGAGCGGCTGGCCCAGTGGGAAGCCAGGGAACTCTCGACTCTCTGGCGGGAGGCGTGCGGCGAGCGACCGGGAGAGCGGCGGCAACGAGCGAAGAGGCCGCCGACCGCGGAGCAGCGCCCCGCCCGCGCTGCCGCTTTCGCGGCGGAGGGCTTGCTGGGGAAGGGCTGCGCCGCATTGGCCGCCGCGGGCCTCGCGACGCCAGCGCGGGAGACCGCGCTGGCCTTTGAAAGGCTGCACCCTGCTGCGCCCGCCCTGCCTCTCGGCCGCCTGGGACAGCTCGTGGCCGCGCCCGAGATCGCCCCGAACTCGGTGCTCAAGGCCTGGCGCAATTTCCCAAAAGGACACGGCTGCTGGCCCCTCTGACCCGCGGGCGCAACATTTGCAGGACGCCCTCTCTCCGGCCACGCGGGCGCCCCTGTGCGAGCAGCTCGCGGCCGTCGTCCAGCTCCTGGCCAACGGGGGCGCCCCCCGCCAGCTTGCGCCGCACCTGGCCGGAGCAAGCCTGGTCGCCCTGGAAAAGGAGGACGGGGGCTCCGGCCGATGGTTATCGTTGAGATCCTCCGCCGCTTCACAGGCAAGGTCCTCTGCGAGCACGTGAAAGCCCGCGCCCGCCAGACCCTCTGGCCGCTGCAGACAGGCTGCTGCAGCCCTCTCGGCGCGGAGGCAACGATTCACGCCGTGCGCCAGTGGTGCGAACGGAACGCCAGCGACAGCGGCAAGGTGTTGCTCAAGCTGGATTTCGCCAGCGCTTTCAACTCCTTGAAGCGGGAAGCCGTGCTGCGGGCCGTGCGCTCCCGCTTCCCAGAGCTCGACCGTTGGGCGCGCTGGACCTACGCGGAGCACTCAACCCAACGCTTCGGCCAACACAGGCTCTCGTCTCAGGCGGGCGTGCAGCAAGGGGGCGCTCTGGGGCCGCTCTTCTTCGACCTGGCCGTTCACGACGTCTTGGAGGAACTGGCTGGCCAGCAAGCCTTGGACTTGCGCGCGTTCTACCTGGACGACGGCTTCCTGGCGGGCCCCGCGGACGCCGTGGCGCAAGCGCTGGCTCTACTACAAACCCGGTCCCCGGAGCGCGGTTTGGAGTTGAACCTTGGCAAGTGCGAGCTCGTTGCCCCGTCTGGACGTGCCCCCGCAGACCTCGGCGGACTTTTCCCCGCCCCCTTGGCAACGGAGGCTGAAACTGGCGTTAGCCGCGTCGCCTTGCGGGGTGGGTTCAAGCTGCTGGGCGCGTCCATCGGCGACCAGGCCTACTGCGAGGCTTTTCACGGAGAAGAGAGCAGGCAAGGCCAAACCCACCCAGGCGGCACTCGCAGACCTTCATCCGCAGGTGGGCCTCCTGCTGCTACGCTACTGCGCGGGCTTCAGCAAACTCGCGTACAGCGCCCGCACGACCCCGCCAGCCCTGCACTCGGAAGCAATTGGCAGCTTCGACTCGTGCCAGCGTCGCGCGCTCGCCGACCCCCTGGCGGCGGACCTGACTCACGCGCAGTGGCACCAGGCGGCCCGCGGACTGGCTTTTGTTGGCTGAGGCTTACGGCGCATGGAGGCCCACGTGCCTGGCGCCTACATGGCGAGCCTGGCTGCGACCCGAGACCTCTGCGCCGCGCTGGACCCAGCCTACAGGTGGGCGCCAGAGGACGCGAGCACGAGGGCCGGACAGGCGCTCTTCGCCTACAACGCCCGGCTGCCAGGGGCGAGCGGAGCGCGCCCAGAAACTCTCGAGGGTGCCACGCAGAAGGGCCTTTCTGCTGCTTTGGACGACCACGACCACAAGGCCTTCTGCGTTGGCTTGAGCGAGTCAGACCTAGCGGAAATCCAATCCGAACAACTCCCCGGCGCCAGCGGCTTCCTGAAGGCGCCGCCGAAGGAGAACCTCGGGCTGCTCGTCGAACCAGAGGAGTTTGTGACTGCGGTCAAGCGCCGGCTCCTAGTGCCCGTCTACGAGTCCGAACACTACTACTGCCCCTGCTGCGACGGCGTGTGCGACAGGCACGGCCGCCACTCGGGGTGCTGCGACACAACGCCGCCCGAAACCTGGTCGGTTGCTTTGCTTCGTCGGCCGGCTTCAACCCGGAGCTGGAGCGCCCGGGGCTCTTGCCGCCCGGGCCTGACGACACTCAGGTCAACGGGCGTCGCCTTGCGAACGTCTACGTGCCATCTTGGTTCCGAGGGGCACCTGCTGCTTTCGACTTTGCGGTATCTTCGCCGCATGGGCAGGCCGCTCTCGGCATGGCTCGGCTCGGCCTAGGGCGTGCGGCCCAGGCGTACGAGGCGACCAAGCGTGAGCACTTGGACACCGAGGCCCAATGCAGGCGGCAGGGGATAATATTCGTCCCCCTGGTGGCGGAACCGTCGGGCGGATGGGGCACCTCGGGCGCGGACGCCCTCCGCCGCCTGGCTCGGTCCAGCGATGGGCGCCTCGGAGAAGAGGCGGGCGCCGGGGCGGCTCGCCTCCTCCAGCAGCTCCCTGTGGCCATTCGCAGGGCCACGGCGCGGGCTGTGCTGCGTAGGCACGCAAGGCCCCCCGAAGATGGGGGCGCGCTGTCCGCTGCCCTCAGCCTGCTGGCGGTTCCGGGCGACGACGACTCCTGGCGTTCCTCGTCCCCCTCCTCCGTTTCTTCTGCCCCTCCCTCCCTCGTCTTCCCAGTGGCTCGGAGTCGCGATGCTTTGCGGCGCGGCGCCCTGTCCGAGGTGCCCTGGCGGGACAGCGGCGCCCTCCGCCAAGGACCTGCAAAAAATCCCCCTCCGATGGGCGCCGCGCCCGCGCCCGAGTTTCTGTCTGCTGCCCCTCCTGCCTGGCCATATTCTTTTTTGTTCGGCGTGAGTTCCTCCCTCCTTTCCCCCCCTCCTTTCCTTCTTTTCTCCCGCTCCTTGCCTCCCCAGGCGGGCGCGCGCGCGCCTAACGGTGGGGGTCGGTGGCTCAGGTCCCACGGCCGCGCGCCCGCTTCCTCCGCCTTCCGGTTCCTCTCCCCTTCTCCTCCCCCTTTTCCCCCCTCCAGGGTATCCCCCCTAGTCGCCGGGCGTCCTTGCCCGCGCTCGGTCTTTCACCCCCCCCCTTCCCTCTGGCATTGGGCTGGGGCGGCGGGGCCGGGCAGGTGGTGTACAGTCTTTGGCGTCGGGCCGCATTGGATCCTCGAAACATGGGAATCCAAACGGATCGAGCCGGCCAGACCTGACAAGGCGCGGCCCCGTGGGGTCCCGGTACCTCCCCCATGGGTAATTGCTCCGTCCCAGATACATGCTTGATGGCCGCGGGTGCCCAATACAACTGGCTCCAGGAGCAGGAAGAGCAGGTGGACAGGGGCAGGGCGGCGGAAGGAGAATATGGGGAGCAGGCAGATGAGTAGTTAAATCCCAACATATTTGTCAATTTCGGCGCCGAGGCAGAAATCGACGAAACTGTAGGATTTAAAGCATGCCATCGTCTGACACCTCGGCTTGCAAAACGGGTTGCCGACCTGCGAGCCCAGCGCCGGCGCAAGGCTGCACAGCGCGCGCAGCGCCGCCGCCAGCGCCCGCGCGCCACCGCCATCGCCGCTGGGCCCGGCGAGCGCCTCTGATCGCCGACTGGGGCAGAGAGATCCAGGTGCGTCGCTCTGAACGCCCGAGAGGGGTATTGGGAGAACATGGCACGATGCTTCGACAGCACATGTTGTCCAACACCGACGGCGGTCGCTGTTCAGCAGGCGACCTGCTGTCTCAAGAAGACGTCCGCGGTGACACCGACAGCGAATCCGTTTCAGAATGAACAAAGATTCCTGTGGGACTTTGTACCCAGTGTTTCCGTATTGTACCCATCTCAGCCCCCCCCGAGTCGTCAACGTTCCAGGTTCGAGCCTCGACCCAGACATCAGAAGGATTCCATCTTCACTCCCCGCACTCTTCCTTCATCTCGGCATCCCATGGGGCCGTTTCAGGTCCCTAAGGGCTGCAGGAAGAGCCGTCTGGGCCTCCAGGCCTCCAGGGTTGTTCTCGACGCCGTGGCTGGATTTCCATCGGGGCCTCTCATGAGAGGTCGGGGTCTAGATATTTCACGCCTGGATCCAAGCCCACTCGCATCGCAACAGTAATCACGGAGCGAAGTGCTTGGTCGTCTTGGCCTCTAGGGGAGCCTCACCGAGCCCTGGGGCCATCAGAAAACTACCCTGGATGAAAAGCTGGCCCTGGGGGAAGGGTCAGGACGTCCAAGGAGCGGCATTGAAACATCAAGGTGCAGTCAAAATCTATTAACTGGACGGGCGCTAAGGACGCAAGAGCCTTGTGCGCTGAAGGAACGTTCCGAAGGACGCCGTCCGCTCAAAGGGCACCAATGGCGAAGGACGGGCGGCAGAGGTAAGGACGCAAGGGAAGGAAAGTCGTGTTAGTCCGTAGTTGGAGATCTGGAATGTCTTGGATGTCCGACTCGCGTCGCGGCAACAGTCACGACCGAAGGTTCTCGGCAATTCTCGGCCTCGGGGGGGGGGGGGGCGGGTCTGGCCTAGCGGGCCTCTCACGGCGCCGCTGACAGAACATGCTCGGGATGCATAGCTGGCCCCTGGGAAGGGGCAGGACCCCTCGGGGGGCCCCCGGACCTCCGATGCACGGAGCCGTTTGGCCCGCGAAGCCCCGACGGGTCTCGACCCCTCCCCGCAGGGCACCCGTGTCCTGGATCCACGGTTTTGCTGGCCCCGCGGGGCCCTCTTGAACGGCCCACGCCGGAACTGAGGACACGCGCCTGGACGGGAAAACTCCATCCGGACGAAGCCCAAGTTCGGGCTCCCTGAGGTTCGGCGCTGCGAGCAGCATGCGGCACCGCTGTGCACATCATACCCCAGCTTCCCGCAGCATTCCTCGCCACCGCCTCGTGTGCGCAAAGATGCGACGCTGAGATCTTCGGGAGCCCGGGCATCCGTGCATCTGCGATTCGTGTTCCAGACGGGCCCCCGAGGCCCAGAAAAATCCCGAGCCGCTCCGCGATGACCCGCGGGGCCCGAGAGGTCGACCCCCAGAGGCCCAGCCCTAGATCGGCGGGCACCGAAACTCGGCCCTGCCAGACATCCAGCGGTGTGACTTTCTCAACGCGCGGCGCCAGAGGTGTACGCAGGCCCCGACCCCCTCCCCTGCAGGGCGGCTTCGCGCCCCGGATCCGCTGCGCATGGTCCTGGGGCATGGGAGCGGGCCACAGAGGCCGAAATCGAGGAGGCACGCGCACCACTCGGCGGCAAGCGATGGGGGGGAAGTGGCGGCGGCGGCGGGGCTTCTCAAAGGGCCTCCGGGCTTCTGAGAAAAGCTTGCTTCGTGCTCAAGGGACAGAGAGAGAGCGAGAGAGAGAGAGAGAGAGTTAGAGAGAGACACAGAGAGAAACAGAGAGAAAGAGAGAGAGAGAGAGAGAGAGAAAGCGAGAGAGGCGAAGCGTATCGCTTGGAGGGAGGGCAAAAGGAGGCGGAAGGGGAAGGCGCGTCGACCAACCTGCAGATCAACTCGTCACACGGTCCACCGCGGGCTGCAGGAATGGAGCATGGAGCGGCACGAGTCCCCCCCCAGCAGCGAATCCGCGCCCTGGACGAGGAGGACGAGGAGGAGCTCTCACTTCCCCCCCGCGCTGGCCGCTGAACCACTTCCGTGACGCCATCCGTGCCTTTCAAGCTTCCCTCCGGCCGCAGGCATACGGCCTTGGGGCGAGGCGAGGGGGACGTCATGAAGGGGATGGTTTTCTAGACGTGCGGGACGTCATGGACGCCGTGCAACTCGTGAGTCTGAGCGAGCAGGCGACTCTCTGACAGGTCATGCCGAGCCGTCGTGGCTACAGGTGGCACCTTTTCACACGCATGTGTCGAGCAATCGTGCTGGCTGACTGTTCCTTGATGCATCTCTGGTTCCAGACGCTCCCCTGAATCAAAGCGAACGAAACTAGGCGCCAGGGGTCGGTCAGGCCGGCCCTGGGGGAAGCGGCAGCGTTCGGAGAACACCAGTGCCGACAGCAGTCGGGAATCAGGAGGAGCTCTCAGGTCCCCCCCGCGCTGGCCGCCGAACTGCACCCTCGGAGACCTGGGCGGCCTCTCTCGGGACGCCCTCGCGCCCTGCCCTCGCGCCCTCTCGGGCGCGGCCTGACCGACCCCCAGCAAACCATCCGTTCCCGTGACGTCATCCGAACCTTTCAAGCTTCCCTCCGGCCGCAGGCATACGTCTTGGGGCGAGGCGAGGAAGGGACGGCATCTTGGCCCAGAGCGCTTAGCACGCGAGGCCACTCCTGGGTTTGCAGAGTCCCAGGGGGCCAACAAAAAAACCGTGTCACGGAACACCACTGCTTCAGCAAGAAAGGTGCACCCATCATCATCTTCAATACCACCATCATCATCATCATCATCAGCAGCATCATCATCATCAGTATCGGCATCGGCATCAACATCAGCATCATCATCATCACCACCATCATCATCAGCATCATCCTCAAGATCATCATCATCAGCATCACCACCATCGTCGTCATCATCATCTTCATCAACATCAGCACCAGCAACAACATCATCATCAGCTTCAGCATCAGCACCAGCATCAACATCATCATCATCGTCATCATCATCATCGTCATCATCATCATCATGACCATCACCATCACCATCACCATCACCATCACCATCACCATCATCATCCTCATCGACATCATCATCATCATCATCATCATCATCATCATCCTTATCATCATCCTTATCATCATCCTTATCATCATCCTTATCATCATCTTTACCATCATCCTTATCATCATCCTTATCATCATCATTATCATTATCCTTATCATCATCATCACCACCACCACCACCACCATCATCATCATCATCATCATCATCACCAGCACCAGCATCAGCATCAGCATCAGCATCAGCATCAGCATCAGCATCAGCATCAGCATCAGCATCAGCATCAGCATCAGCATCAGCATCAGCATCAGCATCAGCATCATCATCATCATCATCATCATCACATCATCATCATCATCATCATCATCATCATCATCATCATCATCATCATCATCATCATCATCATCATCATCATCATCATCATCATCATCATTATCATCATCATCATCAAGGTCGTTTAGGCCACCCCTGACCCTCGCGTCGCCCCCTTGGAGCAAAGGCCGCCGCTCTGGCCCCAGCCGCGACACACGGAAAACCGCCACTCTCTTCGCCGCCCCCGCGGGCGACCTCCAGGCACCCGATGCCCGGGAGGGCGGCCCGCCCACCCCCGCAACACCTCGCTGGGCCTCGAGCCTCGAGCCTCGATCGTCGATTCTCGATCCTCGACCCTCGAGCCACGAGCCTCGAGCCGCGATCCTGGGATCCTCGAGCCTCGAACCTCGCGCCTCGCGCCTCGATCCTGGTATCGCCGCCCCCCCCCCCCCCCTACCGCCGGCCTGCGTAGCCGCCTCCAGCGCGGCGTCGGCGGCGCACTGCCAGTGGTGCAGGTCCGCCCGCGCCGCGCCGAAGCACCAGCTGGCAGAGGCCGTGCCAATGGCGGACAGCGCCGCCACGCGCACCTCCGCGTCCGCGTCTCGGGCGTGCAGCGCCAGAGAGTGCGCGATCTGGGGGTAATGCGGGCGCAGGCGCGCGCCCATGCGCGGGGGCCCCGAAGCGGCCGGTGCCAGGGGCCGGGTCAGCGCCAGCCCGGGTCAGCCAGCGCGAATCCCTGCCAGCCGCGGAGTAGCTCCCAGACCAGGGGTCAGCGGAGGGAGAAGGGGGGGCTTCTGGGGAAAGGGGTGGGCCGTACACGCCAGGACGTGTATGTGCATACATCGTCCAGTAGCCTGGCCAAGCTGTGGCTCTACGATTCGCCACACTGGCGATTCCAGAAAAGGCAGGGCGGCAATCTGGGGGCCGAGCGGAGCCTCGGGGCGACTACGAGCCAGGACAGATTCTCTGTTCGATTAGAGCTCCGAAAACAATTCTCTTCTATATCAGAAACGATTTTCCGTATGTTTCCTGGTACCAATGCGCATCGAAGACACTACCAAAATTCATACAATTGCCCAGGGCTCCGCACCGTTACGACTGATTGCCGCCTCCCTCAGGAACCCGCCCACTCCAGCAGGTCAAGGGTTCGGCTCTCCTGGAACTGGGCCTGACTCAGAAGCTGATCGCGCTCCGAACTTCTCAGTCCTGGCGCTGTCCCGTCGGGGCCCCCGATGGACTCCACCAGCGCCGCCAACAACTCCAGGGCTGCCCTGCACCGGGCGCCGGCGGCTGAAACGGTCCTCAACTGATCGAACGCTCCATCGAGCAAGCTTGTCGAACTGCATCGAATACGATCGATGCCAGAGCGAGAACGCAGCCCAGCTGCTGGATGAATCTCGCGAGGCTCATTGGGCCATGGCATGTGCGTGCAAACAGTGCGGTACACTTGATGTGATTGGCGATCCTGCTTTGGTGCACCGCGCGGGCGAGGGCGACACAAGGCCCAAGGCCCAGGAAGCAGACACGCCTCGGAGCGACAGGGTCCACTCCGCCGACGACCGGGGTCGGGCCGAGGCGGCCGAGACCGATCGGGAGCAGCGGCGCCCTTCCAAGTGAACGAGTCGGCGAAACCGAGGCGCAAGGCAAATCGAAAAATCGAACCGTCCCCCGGAGGTCTCCGAGTTCTCCGAGCCGCGCGGGTCTCTGGGGGTCCCCAGAGGCCTGCAGTGCCCCCCCCCCCCCTGGAAGCACACATATGAATACCCCATGCGTCCAACAACCTCGAGCCTCGACCGAATGGTTCAACGGACCGATGGAACCGGCGGCCTCGCCACGCCGTCGTCGGCGGCACGTCTCGGCAGTCGTCGCCCTGGCAGCCAGTCGTCGTCGTCGTCGTCGTCGTCGTCGTCGTCGTCGTCGTCGTCGTCGTCGTCGTCGTCGTCGTGGTGGTGCTGGTCGTCGTCATCGTCGTCGTCGTCGTCGCCGCCCTGGCCATCGTCGTCGTGGCCGACGTCCTCGACGACAACCCGACGGACGGCGGTGGCGACCGTTTGAGTCGAGGCCGTCCAGGCCTGCGGTGCGCGGCGGACTCACCGGCCAGCAGCCCCGCCACCAGGCGGAGGAGATCCTCCCAGAGCGTGTCGCGGTGGATGGCCATCGACTGGCACAGAGCGTTGCACGCCTCGCCCAGCGGCGAGAGAAGGAGGGGACAGGATCAGGCAACATCGAACCAAAAAATCGGATGGCATCGGACCGTGCGTCTGATCGGACCGCCTCGGCACGGAGTCGGAATCGGATGGGATGGGCCGCGCCAGGATGCACAGCAGAGCCCTGCAAGCCTCAGGCCGCATCGGATCGGCGCGGTAGCGGAGTCGCATTGGATTGGCCTGGCTGGGATCGAGATCGAATCGGATCGATCGGATCGAAATGAACCCCGGTGCGTGGCATCAGGGGAGCGGCCTACCCAGGAGGCGGGGGGAGCTTCTTGATGAAGGATGGGCCTTGCGAGGCGGGCCTGGAGGCTTCTGAGAGGGCCTCTGACAGGGCCCTGGTCTTTCTCAGAAGGCCCCCTGCCCTCCGAGGAGCCCCCCCCCGACCTTCCTCGGCAGGCCGCGCCCATCGCGCCAACCCCTTTTTTGCGCGCCGCAACGCCCCGTCCAGTGGCGCTGCCAGTGCCCCAAACCTCCTTGGGGGCTTGAACACACCGGGGCGACTGGCTCTTTCTGCATCTCCTGCCGCTCGATGCCGAGATTTTGGGCCCCGGGCCTAGGGAAGATCGAGTGTCGGCTGCACGGCAAGAGTGACCCTGGCAAGAAGCTGGAAACACGGGTGGTTGGATGCACATGTGGAACATCCGGAGCTCCATGCTCGTCGCGATGTGCACTCAAAACTGGCAGTAAGGATGCGCGATTGATAAGGATGCGAGCCCCTTGGACGCCCGTGTTGAAGCTTTTTGGAGCGGTGCGGGCCATCGAAAGGGGTCAAGGATGGACCAGAGGGGCACGGATGCAAGGGTACCCTTGGGAAGGTTACCCACCCTTACCATCGATTTCGACTGCATCAGGCATATCACTTGGGCATCCCATGGAGGAGCCGCACGGGGGTACTGCACGGGCCCGTTCGCACACAGATTGGGGGAGAGGAGGTCTCAAGCGGTTCGCTTAGTTCGGCGCCTCAGACCCGTCTTTTTGTTGATAATCCCGCTATCACCGCGACAAAGTAGGCGTGGCATTTGGACACCTCAAGAGGGAGCCACCGGTGATGGCTTCATTTCCTCGTTCGTACCGAAGTTCGGGGAATCTCTCCAACGGTTCGCCTGTTCCGTCGCCTCAGACAGACCCCTCTGGGATGTTGAGAGCCTCATGATCACAGGGGCATAACAGTCGTGGCATTTGGACACCTGAAGGGGAAGCCGCGATGAAAGGATACACATTCCTGTCCGCGCCTAAATTCTGGGGATGTCTCAGACGCGAGCTCCAACAGCGACATGGCGGGCGTGATGCTTGCCCTAAGGGGGAGCCGCCAGGGAGGTGGATACTTGCCCTTCGGCGTCCAGTTTGTGGGGACCTCTCAGGCGGTTTGATCGTTTAGTGTGCCAGGTCCCTCCCTTTCGAGAGGCTCGTGATGCCCACGACACGGCAGGCGTTGCACCTGGGCGCCTCAAGGGGGAGCCGCCAGAGAGGGGGACACTTGCCTGTTCACACCAAGATTCTGAGGAATTTGGGGAGCGGTTCGCTCGTTTAGTGTCCCCGACTTCTCACTTTTGAGAGCCTCATATCACTTCGATATAGCAAGCATACCTCTTGGGCACCCCCAAAAAGCGCTTCCCAGCGGTGCTGCAATTGCCCGCTCGCACCTACATTGTCGGGAGGCCTCGAACGGCTCGCTGGTTTCGACATCCTCGTACCCTCTGCGTTCGGGGCCCCATGATCACCGCGATGCAATCGGCATAGGACTTGCGCACCCCAAGGGGAACCGCCACGGGGCGTTACGCTGGCCAGTTCGCACCCAGCTCGTGGGATCTTCCAGAGAATCCCTTCAGAGTCCCAGGATAGCCCCGATGCAGCAGGCACAACAATTGAGTACTCCAATGGGGGAGCCGCCAAGGAGCGCCCAGCGCCACAGGCTAAAAACCTCCCACTCAGACACTCACGGACGGAATGCCAAAGAATTGGGGAAACCAAAAGGTACTGATACCGCTACTCCCCGGACCTCTCCTGGGGTGCGTCCTGACCAGGATTTCGAGGCGAATCCAGCGGTGGTGACGAGGGCCTCTCAGGAGACCCAAGGTAGCGGTATGTTTACCTTCTCCTCCTCTGAGGGACGATACGGCGAAGGCACTGGATAAGGAACCACTGGATAAGGAATCCAGGGTCTGGAAGCCCGCGGAACTTCAATCGTGGAGTGGCCATGGGCATCACCGTCGCCCTCATTGGATAGGGAATCCTCCAGGGTCTCGAGCCTCCTAGGCACATTCCTTGACGAACGCCCCCACCAATATGCACAGATGGGAACCTCCGCGTTGAACCTTGGCTTGCGCCCCTGGCAGGACAAAACACGACGGTGGGCCCGCACCTCTCGCCCAGCACCCGCGAAGCGATGGCGGGCCGCGGCAGCCAGGACTGGTGGCTCGCTGAACGCGTCCCTGCGCATGCGCGGGTGAAGCGCGTGGTGTCGCGCAGAGTGCGGAAACGTGCCGAATTCGTGAGAGTGCACCCGTCGGACGACATGGAGATGCCCCGACGTTCGCTCATGAAGGGAAGGGGAGGGGGGCGACGCGAAACTGCCGGAAGGCATGCGAGCCCATAATCGAGTCGACAAGTCAAATCGGCGATCGAAGTGAAGCGGATCGGCAGCCAAATTGGGAGGAGGCGCATCGGCGGAAATCTGCTGGCTGGTAAGCTCCCGCCAGAGAAACTGGAATCCAAATCGGAATCCAGAATCGAATCTTCGGACGCCCGAAGTGGGTGCGGAAAAAAAAACAAATGCCCGTCAATGTTGTCCAAAACCAGCAGCGGCCGATGATGGGCAGGCGGTCTTCTGTCTCAAACGGACACCGTCCGCGGCGACAACGACAGCGAGTCCTACTCAAAATGATCAAAAGCTGCTGTCGGTCTTTGTGCCCATTCTTTCCGTACCTATGTCGAAAGTCCCGAAAATCGAATCGGAATCGGGAGCCATCGAAATCGATTGGATCGGAAGAGGCAGAATGAACCCTGCGGGGCCTCGCCCAGCGCCCGCAGCACGGGAGGCTCCCCGCAGGCGGAGAAGCACTCCAGCAAGGAAGCCTGGGCGGCCTCCTGGGCCAGAAGGGGGGCGCGCACCGGAAGGGCAGCCCCAATAACTAACCTGAGCACGGGGCACGAGATGGAGCACGCCCCAGCAATGCTGCGGCGACTTCCATCCCCCTCCGCCGTTACCCTTCTCCTCGCCTCCTCCCCATCCGCGCCCCCTGCCGGATGGAGGATCCTAGCCCGGCGGGCGGCGGAAGGCATACTGTATGCTGTCGGGCAACTCGCAAGATGAATGGCAAGCGTCGCCGCTCCCATAATGGAGGACACGTGGCGCCGGGCGCAACAAAGAACCACAACCACAACTAAGTGGATTTGTGTCGGAGGGTGCCTCGGGGTAGAACCCGCCAACCTCGACATAAGCACTTTGGTTGTGGTTGTGGTCGGTTTAGCCGTCATGGGACGTCACATCGGCCACAGCCAGTCCTAAGCTGGTGTCGGTGTTCTGACGATTGCTGGCATGCACAAGATATGCCCCAGGGTGTGCACTCGATATGGTGGTGGTCACTTGCTGTCCCCGCAGCGGTACACTGAAAGAAGGGTAACGAGGGGGGGCGGACGACAACGACGACGAGGAGGAGGACGACTCAAACGAGGACCAAGATGTAGTAGGGTGGTCACGCGAACCCGTTGAGACGACCTCCGAAATGTGGTCAGCATGATAATGCTGAGGACGCCAAGCCACGCGCCCTGCCAATGTGCACATTTGACTACGCAGTGCCTTGGGAAACACAGAGTTGAGAGGGAACGCCGACGTCCCCTTCCTGCTCGCGCGTGCTGGGTGATTCGCCTTCCTCGTTGTCCTCGTGGATTGCATCGTGGCTGATCAACGCGCTCCCTCGCCCTGCGTCGCTGGCTTGTGTCTCTTCGGTGGAACCCCACAGAAAGGAGGAGGAGGAGGAGGAGGATCATCCAAGAAAGTGTGTAATCGAGGCGGGGATCCAGGGCACAGCTCTTCGACGCCGCGCCGACGCGCTGGCAGGCTGCAGCGCAGGCGGCATAGGGGCCCCTCCTGCACCCTCAGGAGGCATACTGGCGTAATCTAACACGAACGAGCTGTGCACGGGCTGCGCATTGCCCAGCCTGCCGACAACCACTCTGCAGTGGAGAAGACCGAGGAGGGGCGCGCGCAACCGAATGGGCGCGCCTCGAGGTCACATGACTTCGCGCACTTTGAACACGGACCGACAGTCCTGGCAGTCCTAGAACAACAAGTCGTTAGAGCATGAGCCGATGTATCATATCAGCGCGGCCTCAATCAGAATTGCTCTTACAAGCGTTGCGTGCAAACCAAATTGAAGGATGAAAGTGGGGGTCGGGCGCAGGGTCCCGGCAATGGTGTCTCTATGGGCCATGTATGGGTGATACATCCTCGATTGATGTGTTCGGCGGGGGGACCAATTGAAGCTCCCCGCCTGCACCCATGCGCGAGACTTGAAAGTGAACGAAGCAAGGAGGCGGGGGGCCCGGGAAAGGTGCCGAAGGCAACGTGCGCTGAGGGCGCAACAAGAAAAAGTTTGAATAAACGAAAGCGGGGAAGTGCGTGTCAAAATCTGCCCAATCAATCTGACATGCGGAACACTGCGCCTCAGTTATAGGGATCCGGAGGGCCAGGGCGAAATGTGAATCACATTGTGGGGAAAGACAAAACGTTAATTCATATTTTGTGAAAAAAGGAAAATGTGAATTCAAATTTTGGAAGAAAGGAAAATGTGAATCCACATTTTGGAATTTTGTATAGGAATCTGTATGAGGGGGCCAGAATGTGAATTCACATTCTGGGAAAAAGGAAAATGTGAATTCTCATGTTGGAGAAAAGGAAAGATGTGAATCCACATTTTGGGAGAATCGCGGGCCCCATTCCAGATCTGTCCTGGGGGTCGACAAGCCATCGTTTGGGAACGCGCGCGATCATCAATCGCACAATGGGACACACTTGCGCTCCACTTCGCCGCCCCAAGCGCGATGTGCAATAATGCCCGCACGCATGAACGACAATGGATGGACGGCGCGCTTGCCCGCGCTGGCAACGCGCGGGCACGAGCGACTGGCCCTCCACGACCGCCAACATCGAATGCCAATCATACCCGATCGCATACATGAGCGATACATTGAGCGTACATGGGCCATTCAGCCCCCATTGAAGACCCCCTGTTGCAGACCCCCTCTTTCGCCCTCCAACCAAAGGAGTCTCTCAGACCGTGTGCTGTTCGGTAGGCTTGTAGGCACGCCGGGACACCTCGCCACTTCTTGAGCACTGCACCCTGCGAGGCGCGGCTGCGTTCACGCCCTCGCGAAGCCACCTGGGAGGAAGGGCGGCTTTCCGTCCCCGGCCACGACGCTGCGGGGGGGACCTGGGACCTGGGCGCCCTATGGGCTGCCAGCGCCCTGAGATCCTGGCGCTGCGGTTTTCCCCCTGACGGTAAATTTCGTCCAATGTCGGGCCCGGGGGCCCTCGCATATCGATCCCGCTACAACAATGACGCAGAAAAATCCCAGGCACTGGTCGTGATTGTTTGCGATGTCGCACTTGTTCTGCGACGTCGGATCTCAAGGCAAGACCAACCGGCATCGAATCGGAAATCGGATCGAGTCGACATGTGCATCGAATTGGGCCGCATTGGCGCGGATCCGAAATCGAATCGAATCGGCCGCGCCAGGATGCAGAGCAGCGCCATGCAAACATCGGGTCGCGTCAGATCGTGGGGATATCAGAATCGAGTCGGATCGGGCTGGCAGGAATCGATATCCAATCGGATCGATCGGATCGACAGGTTCAGGGCGGGGGAGGCTGCGCTGTTGGCAGCCCGCCCTCGGACGCCAAAGCCGTGGGCCGTTGGGGGGGGCCGCTGGGGCTCGCCGCCGAAGAGGCGGCCGGCCAGCTGGGCTCAATACGTGTCGAAGAGGCTCTGGCCATTTTCTCCGAGCTGGGCTCAATGCGCGTCGACTCCGCAGGGTGTGGCTTGAACGCGCGTTTTGACGATCGCATCCTCGCGCTCGGCGACGAGGCGAAGTAAGTCGAAGCGGTGGGGGCGGACGCGCACGGCCGGGTTCTCAGTCGGGATTGCTTTGGATCGCCGCACGTGCCACATGGGCGGGGGCGCGGTTGCATCGCGCCCCGAGGGTGCCCGACGAGATCACACTTGTGCCCCCCGCGCCCAAGCGACGCAGATCGCAAACCACCCTCCGCCGTGGTTCACACCCCTTGTAATCGCCGAAATACGTACGCGCTGGCTGCGATGGGGGGGGAATTTGGTTAAGGCGCCGCTGGCGTGCACTGCGGGCCCGCTGTGCTGCGGGCCCACTGTGTTGCCGGCCTACTGCCTCTGATCTCAAGCGCGAGGCGCCCCCGAAAAGGGGTGCGAGGATAGACGACCCAGGTAGAGTTTTCATCCCACAGAGGGCGTGATCCCAGTCCTCAATCAACTTACAGGGCGGGATGAAAGATGCAGCCGCCTGCTTCTAACAACCTGTACCAATCCAGGGTCAGAACAATTTCTCGACTTCTTCCCTCCGTTTGTTGACTCTTCTCCTGAGGCCAAGATTTCTGAGGATGTTGCTGCATGCTGTGGACAATTTCATATCGATTGTCTCGAACCCGCCATTGCCCGCGAGCGACTCATTTGTTGTCGCAGTATCCTGAATCACGCGGAGCCAAATGAAGCATGTATCTGGTTCGCCTGAAGTACGTCACAGGTCCGCTCCCGTATTAAACCTTTTCGGTCTCTTGTACTTCGTTGTATGTAGCAGTATCCGAACTGCATCTTCCGCGGCGCTCTGCCGCGGATGATTGGATGGTCCTCCGCCCGCGCCCTGAGGCTCATCCCTGAAAAGTGGGGGTGGCGCACGTTTCTGTGGTTCGTCCTGGGTAGGTGATCGCGCCCACACGGTTGTTACAAGCGCGGTACGCCATTGCTGGCCAGAATTCTCACGTGTGGGTGTGGCGCAGCCGCTATGGCTCTGTGAACTTTGTCTCAGGCATTTGCTGCCCTCGACATGTTTAGCGACAGATTTCTCCGACGCGGTGTGCCAGTATGCCGCGAGCACGCTTCGCGTTGGTGCCATTGGAGGCCAGGTCCCAGCCAGTGTCCACTCCGCAAATTCGCGCGGCTGTGGCGGCATGGGCAAAAGTTGTGGCGTCCTCTTTACTGGGCTCTCGTGCCTCGTGACTGGTGGTACCTGTCTAGCAGAGATCGCAGAAACAAGCGTCAGTATGAATCCTTCCAATTGTCCTCGATTGTTTTGTGGATCGTACTGATCAACTTATCCAGCCTGGCGAATCCAGCACCCACCTCTTTCGTGGCCTTATCCAGGCGAGCGGCTTCCATTAGACTGTGATTATGGAACTGGTCACTGTCGTCGGCAACGATTTGCTCATGTGACTCGGGACTTCCGTACGTGTCTCTTACTTGTTGCTGTAGGCACAATGGAACAAGTTTCTGCGTGTGGATAAAGTCGTTAATTGTAGAGACATGACCATCCGTGTGATCTAAATCCCCTTGGAAAGAAGCGCGGTTCGTCATTATAACGAAAACGGTGGTTACGACTTTTGCCATGATTTTTGACATGTTCCGGCTTACTGTTTTTAGCGAACTGTTGCGCTCGCGCGGCAGCTGTTGCGCTCGCACGGCTCCGCCTTATGTCTGGTGTCTGGTGTTCATACACCATGTAATCACACTGCTGATTGATGAGCTCATGTTCGTCCTGCTCGGTTTCAACCTTATTCAATTGTTGGCACAATACCGTAATGTGTTCATTGATACAGGCTGGCTACTCTGTCTCTGTTGCTGCTCCTTTTCATGATCCCTGGCACTGTAGCCCACAGTAATTTCGACAGCAACACGGGCTGCAACATCGATACCTGGGCGGAATGTTTGTGGTTGACTCGCCGCCTGGGTCATCATCCGAACTTCTTCTGCCACAGCCCGCGCTTGCTGGTCGCCGTGCTCGGTGTTTGTTCCCGCGTGATTTATAGATGCACCACGAAATGCCCGGTAAGTATCTTTGGC